CTTGGCAACGACGTTGTAAAACAAGCCGCCCCCCCGGTGTTTGCCATCGGGGTTGGGTTTTCGTCGCTTGGCAGCGATGTCGTAAAACAAGCCGATCACTTCGTGAACTCGGCAACCAGGTTACCGCTTTTTCTTTGCCTTTGTTTTTTTTTTGCGGTGTCCTTGAATGGTTGTCGAGTAGATTATGTTGTGTGGGGTCGAGAACCCTCACTCCGTGCAAAGGGGATAATCGCACGTTGTGTTAAAATGGTCAAGCTTCCTCGAGGCAGTTACACAGTGTCTCTGGAAGTGAGAGCACCAGAAAATAAATTAAGTCATACGCAGCTGTCATCCGTACGCAAGGAAGTAAGCACAAGATGCCGAACACCCTTAGCAGGATGCAGCGCACCCTTCATGCGACTCGCCGAATACCTCACGGCGCTTCGCGCTTGGTGATGTGAGAGCCTGGTCCGGTGAGAACCCGGCGTGCTCCGTCCCGGCTTTGTAGGGATGCGAGGCCAATGGTCTAACGACTACGGCATGCACGACTATGAGTACCCCCCCTCCCCCCCCCTGCCCTCTGCCGCGCACCCTCTGCATTTCAGGTCACCGTTCGTGAACTCCCTCTTGAATAGGCTCAAGGGTCACCACGCGTCGCTAGTGGGTTGTCAAGCCGTGGAAGGAACGCCAGAGCTCATCACTGCGGACAGTTCTGGTGTTGTCAAGGTATTGTTCGTTTCTGATGGAGCAGGTAGCACCCACAAACAAACGAGAGGTGCCACGTAGCGCTGAGTATTGCTGAGAGCAGACAGAACCGACAGCCCGATGAGCCAAGAAACTCTAAGGACCAGGCCTGTCCCCGCCTACGGAGGAACAACTACAATGGACTTAACGCGTTTAGTTTAAGTTTGGAGAAATTCGCATCCCCCCCTCCACACGCGCACATTTCACCTCAACTCCTGTCCCCCGCCCTTCCCAACTCACCGCATGACGTCGCGAATTTCGGGTGGCTGTCCACAGTTGTGGGATCTCCGGACTTTCCACTGCGTGCAGACCTTCCAGGCGAACAACGACGGAGAGATGCCGAAAGACAAGGCTTCCACCTCGTGCTTCGTCCACTTCAAAATGCCCCCTCTCAGGTCCAACCAGGAGCAGGTGGGTTGACCACAAGCGTTTGGATCAGTTGCATCTAGATGTGTCATTGGTGGCGCTTCCTCTGCGGACCACCTCTCATAGAAATGCTGTGGTGGTGGTGATCCAGTCGAAGCAACTTTATCGTCGCATCACAATATCTCATGGTGTATCCCTTATAAGAGCTTCGGTGTTGTTGGAGGGTAGGGGAGTGGTCAGCGGAAACAACTCAGAAATACTATTCTGCAATTCTGCGCCTCCCTTGTACACGGGAACCTCGAAAGACCTTACCCTCTAAGAAGTGCTTGGACATTACCTCACTCTGCAAACTTCGAAGCACCATAGGCAGTTTTCTACGTCACTAGCCATGGGTGTAAGGCAAAACATGCAATCATCGCTTCCGTAGACCCGTTGTGGTTGACCACCACACTGCTCGTTCCGTAGAAGAACGTGTCAAGCTAAAGCTATCTACAGTAGTAGGCTCTCTACCCATAGTGCTAACATTGTATGACCCTCGTACTTGTTATAAAATTTTATCCTTGAAGGACGAACATCGGTTGGTTCTGGCGAGAGGAAAGCGACTGCTTCCTTTCGACCAGTACCGCTGCAAGACGGAAGCAATCACCGACGATTTTGCTGTGACGTGCGCGTGCTTCAATCACACCTCGCTCACTATCTTGACGGCCACTGAGAAGACGGTCAAGGTACGATGCCTCCTTTGTCTTCCTTGCTAGAACCACGGCGGTGTGGTCGTGCCATCGCGCCTCCGAAAGACATGTGTGAGGCCACGATATATGTGTGCATGGCCTTCCAAAGCACGAAGAGTAAGGTGGTACTCTGTCCTGGTGGTTTCAGTTTGAGGAATCGGGACGCACGTTCAATGACCTCCCAGAGTTTCTTGGTCTACCTGAGGGAGGGTTTAGAGGTTCCCTAAGGCTGAAAAACAGGTCATGTGAGGCGGTCTCAAAGGCTCGAGGCAAGTCGAGCAAGAAGTGATTGGCACCTGTAAGTAGCGCCTCTGTAAGCCCACAGCTGTACAGAATCTCTTACAGATTTGCACTATGTATTGGCTTCTGTAAAAGACGCCGGGTTTCGGATTTCACTTTGCTGAAAAACACCAATCTCTCCTTCCCTGAGTGTTCTTTGGTCCTGCTCTCTATATGCAGATCTGGGATGCCGTGGGAGGGATTCTTAAGGGGGTTTTCAAGGGCATCACTGGCGCGGATATCACGGCGGTCTGCCTAGATGACAGGTACGTTGATATACCACGCCTACATCCTACAACAAGCAGAGGTGTGGCAATGTCAGCTGGGTAGCAAAGCCAGCTAAGTAGCTTACGCACTCACAACCGGTTACGCACAGCTTTTTTTGGCTTGGTTTTCAAGCCGCTGGTGGACTTCCATGGCAGGCGTAGTCCGATAATTTGAATTGGAAAATTTGTGGAGTCTTGATGTCTTTATTTTGCCAGGGTACCCTCACAGCATCCGCCCTTCGCTCTACAACGAGCTTCGAATCTGACTAGACTGTACTCCTCAGTTTGGAGCGACAAATATTGTCCCAACATCCCTTCCGGGACCAACCCGTTGTCAACTTGCGGTATTTGGTGGCCCTGAAATCTAATCAGGGAACGCAAATTCATTCTCGGCAACGCCAAGGGCGAAGTGGCAGTCTACAACTTCAGGAATGGGGCAAAGATGAAAGACCTCGACACGCAAGCCGGGCCCATCGCCGGGCTGATATACTGCGCTCGTGAGAAGGCTGTTCTGGTCGCTTGCCAGGCAAGAAAAACGAGCCCTTACATGCTTTCGTCGAATGTCTGGTCCGCGCCTGCTCTCTATCAGCCATTTATAGCTGATTGATGTACAATGCATTGATGCGTCAAGACGGGAGAGGATTAATTTACTCGTCAGGACGAGTCGAGAAGCCCGAAATAGAGAGTAAGAATCATATGACCCCAAAGGCAAGACATGACTTTTTCCCTACTTGAAATGTCAGTCTGTCTTGTTGGAGCGCGCCCCCCTCCGTGATTTTCCACAATTTGCAACAAACATCCAAGCAGCCCACACCTGCTCTATTTTTCTGTTATTGCGACGTTTCTCTGGTTTGATCAATCTGAAATCGCAGGACGGCGACATGGTGTGCTTCGACGAAATGGATCCGGACAAGGCAGTTGTCCTCGTCAATTTCGAAGGAGGCGGTTCGGCCTATTCCGAGGACCTGAACAATGTGGCATATTCGCATTGCAATGGCCTGGTTGCCACGAGCAGGTTCACCTCCGCATAGATTAGAAGATTTTTTTCGTGTGGCGCGCCTTGTGTTCGGGTGTGTGCTTGTTCTCGACGTGCCGGACTACGTGTCCTTGCTATGGTTCCGTGATTTACACTCAACTATATTTTTATCATTAACCTCTGCAAAACATGTGGTATGGGACATCATCATCGATGTGGTTATTCTTGTACTTGAAGACGTTGAGACTTGAAACGGAACATCGGATCGCATATAAACTCGCTTGCTTTGCTGGTTAGCGCCTTAGCTGTAGTCCTGGAGTGACTTTACCCGTAGTTGGCGTAAATGAGGGGATATCGTTGTCTACAGCGCCATTGTCGTGTTGTAACACCCGCACCATACGAAGTGGAGCCGGGCTGTGTATCGTATACCCTTCATCTAATCCCCAAGCTCCATCGCTCAGAGAGTCAAGCTGCAGCGACAACGGCCGATAAAACTGTCTTGTTTTCGCTTCATATCCCGGGGATTCGTCGTCATTCGAGTGCCTCTCTCCTCTTATCTGTTTGGTTCCCATTCAATCCCGCGGGTGGCTTCTTTCTGTGGAAACTATCAACGGCTCTCAGCTGCAACCCGGAGGACGGAATTCTCATCTGGGGCTTCGGGACCGGAAGGCAGGAGCATGTCCTGGCCCACGGCAAAGCAGAAGGTGAGAGACGTATGAGGGGTGGTCGAACCATGGCTCCGAACACCTGGAACTTGTGGCAGGTAAGGTCGGGCGTTCGTGAGCTTGTTAACATAGTCTGTGACTATTCCTCCACAAGGCAGTCGCCTGCAGTGCTGTCGTTCAGCTCCTTTCTGTTGCCGTGGAGTGCTCGCCATCCATCTGTGTCTTTTACCAATGTCACGTTTTCCCGCACCGGCGGTGGACTAGGTTTGGTGAGCAGCGTGGCGTCCCTGGTATTCTTGGATCCCCACCCTCTGCTCTTGGCCACCTACTCTGACGGGACGATACGCTTGTGGGGCGTCAAGGGGAGCCCGCTCAAAGGATTGATGGTCTTGATGTTTCCCAACCAGCCACCAAAGGAGGCGCTCTTTTGGGGAGGGGAAGATGCGGAATACCCGCTGTTGAGGTAACGAGAGGCAAAGAAGGAATCATTGACAGAGCGAGAGATAATTGTGTTTCAAGTCTCTTGGTTGAGGTGGTGGATTTGGTTCTTCTTGTGTTCGCACGCATTTACCCCTGTTTCTTGGCTCGCCCCGCCCGACGGAACACGGAATATAACGATGATAGTAAATCAACTGTGCCAGATCTCTGACGCGCATAACGTTGTTTCCGACTAAAACACAACATTATACAGACTTCCGCCTTCCACGGCAAAGAACCCACCCACAGAGCAGAAACTCGGGACTACTGGCGCCGACCAAGGCGGTCAAGAACCGATAGGCGAAACCAAGGAAGATACAACTACCACGGCAACTTCTGAGGTTGATGGGCGGGGGGTGGGGAAAGGCGTTGCGTTGGGGTCTATTGGCCAAGGCGGAGAGACACCTACTCAAGAAGAAGAGGATGAACAGGCATTCTCGACATGGAGGGTCCATCCTCGCATGACTCCTCGCAAAGATCAAGCCTTACAGGTCAAGAGGTTGTTAGGAAGTTGCACCCCCAAAAGTCAGTACCTAAACCAGTAACATGATCCCGACTGATGTACGTGATAGACAGTGGCGAGAGTTGAGAAACGCTAAAATTCGAGAGACAGTGTAACCTCGATCCGAAGCGGAAGCAGCTTCCCCGTAACTGGAAACGCTCACATCGTCTTGCTACGATAGGTCGAAAAAAACAACCTCTCGCCAAACGCCTTTCATTACCGCAAACCAACCCCAAGAAGGACTGTAGCTTACAACATTGAAGCCTTGCAAGTATCGTCATAATAACGTCACATGGACCTCGTAAAAACTGTGTCATATTACAACCTAGATGTTCAAATCGGCAGACTAGCGCATTTCTTCGTCCAATCCCCCCAGTTCTTCATCACCATGACGTGATTTTCATGCTTATCTGCCCCACAAGGTCATCAGTACAACGTGGGACCCCGAGAGCGCTTGCCTTTTCACCGGGGATGAAACGGGAAGGCTCCGTTGTTGGAGTCTCCGCAAGGTGTTGGGAGCTCTTGGAGCAGAGTCCACGCGGGAGTCCGCGGCGGAAGAGGGCCAAGCAAGCTCTCAGGAATGCGAAACTGAGGCGACCGAGAGTCTCGGACCCGGAGGTCGGCGGGACGGAGCGGGGGCCGTGGCCGCGGGCGAGGCTGGTAGCCTATTGCGAACGGAGGTGAGCATGTCGTACACAGCGATGATGGAGACCGGAAAACAGAAAATATCTACGCCGTTCAGAAGACCGGGTTACGGATGACAAGACATGCAAACGTTGCGGGGCCGAAGGACTTGCTGTCGCTGGGGGTGGTTGTAATACGAGAGAAGTGTGTGGACGGACACCGCTCCAGACGTTTGTAACTGTGATGCTCTTCCATCTGTGATTGTTCCATTAACATAATGCTGTTCCTCAACACGGGAACTCGTGCACCACGGTGCTACCCACTTGGGTTGACCTCCCATCCCCGAACAGTAGACTGGCGAGAAAAAACGAAGTCTGGGTTGTAGTTAGCAAGCCGGACGGCTGAAAGCCCATACAAGCAGCTCACGCTCCTCTTCAACGGTGTCCATGCCGAACCAATTGGAATGCTTTCGTTTTTTCTTATTGCACGGTAGTCTTGAACAGCCTCCGATTATGGTGAGTTCATCAGTGGCATACCCAACCTACACTTGCCAGCCTGTACCTCCCACCCACGCCTGTTTTGGCTGGGAACAACAGGACAGTGGAGCAAGGAGGGGGAGCACGGAAAGTAGGAGGAAGAGCAGTGTTAGCTTGACAATGGTGAGAAGCCGTATGGGCTCAACCCAGCAAGCAGGAACTTTGTACGTGCGTTGCTGATGCTCGATACAGTGAGTCATTGCCTCATGCACCAACGAGTTATCTGCAATTTTTCTTGATTTTGGGACTTGCGCTGGCGGTCCCTGCCAAGGAACCAACCTGTGACTGTTGGTCGTTGGATTCCTCTTCAACATTTGGAAGGACAGAAACACTCAATTAATCTCGTGAACTACACTTGATCAGAAATTTCTTTTTTTACCTAGTCTCCATTTTTCGGTGCATTGGGTTGTGAGTTCAAACTACAGCGCGCTTGGAATGCGAATGCGCCTCTCTTTTGCTTGGTATTGGTAGATCTTTGTTGAAATTGTCTACCTACCGTATTTGGTATTGAAAAGTGACCCAGCCAACGTAAGTGAAAACACGACAACGTCCTCCGGTCGCCCTCTGGATCTTCCCTCCCGTTACACCCCCTCTATCAAAGTCACCACTCTCCGTCACCAGGGTCACGAAACATATGGTAGATTTCCTGTGGGGCGCGGAGAGCGCGCACGAAGATTCCATCGGGCTGGTCGTCCTCGTGTCTACAGACCCCCCTGCTCTGTTGACGAGCGGTGCGGACCGCTGCGTAAAGGCCTGGAGGCTCGATGGTAGGCCGCAGGGGATGCTCCTGCAAGGGCTGGCGCCTCACGCGCCAAACCCACGGTGGTCCTTCAGGTGTGCCTTGTGATTTATTCACCTCAGCTTGCTTGCTTTGTGCAGCACGTGGGTTTGCGATGGCGGTGGGCACCGTCATATACGCTGGTGAAAGCGCACTTCGAAATTTCGTGTGGTTCCTCTCGAAAGCGTCGTTAGCTGTACATACCACTTCTCCCCAACAACAAACAACCAAATACGTGGAATTGCCTCATACCGTGGTGGTTCACTTCGACAACAGAAACCCAGTAGAGGGTACGCAATCATGGCATCAACATTCGGAATAGCGCGTAATACATAGTCCCTGCCTTCTTCGCATTCGCCCGGGCCTGCCTTCAGCGTCAACGTTGAAGCTCTGGCTCAAGCAGAAAACGCCGAAGCTAGAACTGTGCTGTCAGCGATGAAGGAGCGCGCCGCCAACAACCGTCTCGCAGCGCAAGAGGCCGCAGAAGCTGCAAGGTTCCCCGACCCTGACCCACAGCGTCGCTACCACCATCACCACCACTACCACCACCAACAGCAGCATCGTCGTAAACGCAGTAGCACCGGTGGTGTCTCTCTTCCACCTGCGGAACCGTCCCCGCTGAAGCAGGCTCAGCTGTTGCGGCAGCGCAAAGAAAATACAGCGGCAATGGCACGGGCTGCTGTAGAGAAAGGGTCTAAAATTGGTGGTGATGGAAGAAGTGACGGGCAACCGATGCCGGAGGCGGAGGTCAGTGAAGGCGGCTCGGAGGTCACGTTCACTTCTTCACGAGAGGTCATGCGTCACGCGGCGTTGCAGGCGATGTCGGAAAGCATGGGGAATTATCGCAAGAGCGACTCCTGCAGCGACTGGACAAGGTGCATATCGGCCATGCTGAAACACTTCCTCCGACGTTTTTCGTTCATCGCTGTTCGATGGGAAAATATGCGTTGATACACGAATACCGTAATATGAAGTTGTACCAGTACCTAAACCAGTAAAGCGATCCGGACTGATACACCCAGCAAACAGATACGAGATTTGATTTGTTTTTTGCGCCCCCAATGGCTTCCTCGAAGGACATGACGGTATCTTTAACCAATTACACCCGTCTCTCGCCCGCTCCTCGATTTGCTCGAACATCAACACAACTTTAATGGACAAGCTCCACGTCATCTTCAAGGTCTTCTTATACTAGGTTCAAGGGTCGTCCGTCAGTAGTACCCCCCGCTCCCGGTAGACGGCGAGGGAGGCCTGCAGCCGGCCTTTCGGCTGTCGTTGATCGCGTTGGCAAGGTAGGAACATGCGCACATAGGAGTTCGTTCTACTGTTTAGAGCATGTTGTGGAGGTACCACGAACACGTAGTCGGAGACACGATACCTCCCAAGCGCAGAGAAACGTAAAAGCAACAACCGAAGAACACGCGGACGCTGCTCCTTGCACCACGGGTTTTGGTACCTACAGGAGCAGCGAGGGCCGCACGCGTGGCCCGAATACACGCAGAAGGGGTTGTACCCTACTCCTACCCCCCACCGAGATACCAATACTAATGTCTTCTTTCGTGGCAGTTTCGATACGAAAGCCTAGAGATATGCCACAACCGGCGCAGAGATCCAAGTTATGAGAGCATCATTTATCTTTGCCCTCGCTCTGTTCATACTTCTTATTCTCCCACATTTGTCCATCGCATTGTTCCACAGCTAGCCCCAAATCCTTCGCTCTGTCCCCAACCTATTCAAATCTCGCTGCATACAGCTGCTGGATCAAGCGGAGAGCTTCTCAGCTGAGCATACCAACCGTTTCGGTGGTCGTCGGTCGAATCTATCGGATTTTGCCCAAGGAGCATTGCTTGCAGATCCGCGCAGGATCCCCCCCCCTAGTACAAAAAAAAGTGCTGATACTGCGATGACATTTCGATCGGCTGTGCTGGGTGAAACGGCGAGTGGAAGCGGAGGCGGTAGCCAAGCCAGCAAATCAGAACCGCGGGGGGGGCGATGAGATACATAAACGAGGGTAGTTGGCTCTCGACCCGACGTTGAGAATAACTTCATGTTGGAAGCACATTGTGTTAATGCTGAGCCGACGGTGTTAGTTACGGGTTGACGGGCTTGGGGATTGTTAGTGCAACATTCCCAGCTTGTCGTCATTGGCACAGGGCCGGCAACAAACCTAGTGTCAGTGATCCACGCCGTCTCTCAGAAACACGGAAAGGGCAGTATCTGAGTTATAAGGTAGGTCCATGTCTGTATGACGTTAGTATCCACATGATACCCAACAGAACGACCAAACGATTTGCGTCTTTTTTTTATAACAAGCACGACGAGCAGTTGTATCCACGCGGCTGTGAGCAGCGCATGATATTGCAAAGAGGGTGGTGCATCTCTGGCGGTGCATCTCTGGCACACGACACTGTGCCGATAGCAGACGTCTCTCCAGGTTTGAATGAGCCGTGTAGGACAAATAAGCCTTTCCCAACCAAGGGTCACCGACGGCCGCCCTGGGTACCGTCGCAAACCTACTCTCTTCTAACTGCAAATCCAGTATCTACCATCTTTGCGGTCTTAGGACTTACCTCGTCAATTGTTCGTGTGACTGTGTTGCCGTTGCAGCTTTAAAATACCCTTGTACTTTGTTCCGTGCATCTTATCGACTGAGAGATCCCCATTTTCTGTGGCTTGCTCTTTGTGGCAATAACGGTGGATAGAACAATTCCCCAAGGATCCAGACTATCCACGTACAAAAAAGTCAATCAACTACGGTAGTTCATCGCCTTCCTCAAGCATGCTAGATCCAATCTCTATGTCAGTCGTATCCACGAATTAATGACAATGCCCCCGTTAGTAGTTCGGCACCAAACCAAAGTCTGCTCCCACCACATCATCGGGCATACACCGTTTTTCACATTCTGGTGCCAATTTTCACTAGCCAGAACCAGCAGTCCCGACGGAGCAGGACGAGCTCCTCGTAAACGTCATTGGGTACCGCCGCGCCCACGGCACCTATCGACAAATGTCGTACGGAAATCCCTCAAGAAAACCGGGGGGAAATGAAGGCTCACCCTTGGCAGCTCCTGCACCCACGGAGGCAAGCGATCTGAAGCAATTGGTGTTCGGGCAGTCGCGGGGAGCCGGCAGTACTGGCAAACCTAGATTGACGTACGACTTCGATACGTTCGAGGCTACCCATGCCTCCATTATATGTAGCTGAGTCTTTCGGGTGTTCGGGGAGTCAAGTGGGCCAAAGCTCCTTTCATCCGGAGGGTGGAAATAGAAAATCCGGAATGCCAGGGATATCTGCACGGCCGCAGCGAGCAAGGATGTCAATGTGCCGTGGCACATGGGTTTTCTTGAGGGCGGAGGTTCATGGTGTCGTGGCCCAAGGGCTGATGGAGGTAGCCAGGTTACATGCGGCCCCTAATCTGGGAGTAAGGGGTACGTGGCCTGGTTCGTGATAACAACGACGAGACCCCGGGCATAGTAGGGGCGGGTGGATAAACAGTAACATTTACCATGTCTTTAGCGCGGAGCACTGCTGAGGAGAGAAGCATTGAGCGAGACGGAGATGATGTGTGTGGGTAGAAAAATCGTTGAGGTTTCTTTCCCATCTTGTTAAGCCGTTCTCAGGCCTTCCGGGTTTGGAGGATGGTCTGCGTGGTCGGTGGTAGTTTCAACGATGAACACCCCGGCTTGGTTGGGGTACGAGAATGGATCTCTTCCAAGTGTGTTATGTTATTCGTTGCAGGGGTACTCTATTTTGCACAATTCGGTCAGCCTCCGAGGCTGAGAGAGACTCTGTTTTATTTCTTGGCGATTGTTCCTGTGCCATGGTTTATCGCTTTCAAATTTCTCGCTCGTAGGAATTCTTCGTGTTTTGTGGAGCATTTGTCTTATCGAAACGAAGGGATCCACACCTGTTGGTGGACCATAGTCCAGTGTAGGCAATTTTTTGCATTAACCCGTACGCCCGAGAAATTCATTTATTGCTCTTCTTTGCTTTACTAAAGAGAGTACTTCGAAGTATATATCAGAAAGGTTTCTAAAACACATACCACCAATCAGACGCACCCACATAAGTTGCCGGCATGACATAAGGCCCATGGAGCAAACAAGAACTATGAACGACCCCCCCGGTGTTCACGAATAGCCCCAAGTCTCCATGCACAAAGAAGAAAGTAACTGCAGATTATAGCCGCTTCATCCCCCACCCAGAAAAAGTGTCACAAGACCAGAACACATGTTACATGTGCCGGATTGCCACCCAGCTCGCGGGGCGCAACCTCACAGGAGCTTTGCAGTCCCACACCACCCTTCGTGCTTGTTCGTCCTCTGGAGGGATTACTCCTCCCATTGTCGATAGAAAGCCGTAGGTGCGTTCTGAACAACGCAAGAGGGGATCGATGAGGGCCCTGGCTTCATCCAAGCACGTCTCGTTTGTCACCTGGATCAGAAGGTGGCGCAGTGATGTATCACAGATGGAGCGAAATTGTCGCAAAGGAAAGTCACAATTGCCAGGCAATCCCAAGGGCAGTGAATGGTGTGCTAGGCCGGCCAAATGCGAGGGTAAAGGAGGTGTGGAGCAGCCCCGAAGGATATACCCAGGTGTCCAAAGGGGGAAGTTTCCCCAAAAGCGGAAAGTGCCCAAAGGGGGAAGTGTTTACAGCATGTACATTATTGTCAATATCATGGGGTATTCGCACCCCATAACAAAATAATACCATGTACATAGTTAAAACCTTTGGGGCTTCATGCCCCGCAGTGCGCAAGTACAGCATCACATGAAAAATAAACGGATCCTTCTCTTCTAGACTAGTGGAAATGTCCTCAAGCAACCCACCGTAATGCTTCCGATGATGTTGTCCTTGCGTCCGAAGGAAACCTGTATGCTTGTCTCTTGCCCCGGAGCTAGCTTTACAGACGGCTCTCCTCCCTGAACCATGTGCGAAAGACACAATGTCAGAAATCGACCGCTACCATTGCTATTTTGATTGTTGGCCGTGCCCCTCCTGCTTTTTAGGGTACGCGGAGGCGTTTCTCGCCCTTTTGCCACAGCTTTCTTGGTGGTGATGAGACGTTTTGGATAGATTAATGCTTGAAGGTAAAAATAAAAAATGCCGCGCAGCTTATTGGGTTCGAATTACATACTATCGCCCTTTCAAAACGCCACTTACTTCTTGAAAGTAGGGTTCCGACACCCGTAACACTCACTTGTGGAACACCCGTAGCCTTCGTTTGCTGTCCGGTTTCCACACCCTTGGACAGGAAATTCTGTGAGTCAATCGATCTTTGCACCTAGAACAAACCACAACAGAGTCAAGGTGGACCGCGGAAATGCGGCGCTTGCAATCAGGGATATGAAAACACCAAACCCAGTTCGACCCTTGTCATGATAGCATGCAGCTCATTGCTATAGCAGAGGCTTGACCTTGAACTCTCTAATGTAAGTCTGTCCTGTTCCTTTTGAGTTAGATAATCATTGACGAGTGCTTTGTACCCTCCACGAGAAAGTGGAATTCGTGTGACGACGAAGAAAATGTTGTTTCTTGTCAACACTAAGGATGTTCAGCAATGTTTGTGTGTTCGGCAGTATACTTCCACACGGCAACGCTTACCTGCCCTACCAGATCGCGAACAGGCCTCTTGGGTCTACCCATGGCATAGTCGATCTCGATCAGAGTGTCAATGCTCAGGTGGTTGTCCTGGCAGAGTAGAATGCCGAGGGTGTTGTTCGCTTCCACAGCTCGTGCCACGGCTCGAAACGAAGTGTCTGTTCCCCCACACCCTGACAAGTCCAACTCCAGCAAAGTTCTACGTGCACGCGGACGGGAAGGTCGCGTTCGTCAGAAACGGCATCCTTGTTGACTTTATGTACATTTTGATAGGTTTATTCCTATGACATCGGGGACCCTGTGACATTTTCAGCACACGAGTATGTTGTGCTCCCCTCGCCTTTGTCGGGCACTTGCAAAGTACAATGTGGGTTTTCAGGGACACGCGTGGAATCTATAAATACAAGAATATCTCACGCGCTTCCGCTTCTTAGTAAGGTTATTCTGTGCCGTTGTGTACTCAGGTGGCACTACCAAACTCTGAGCGGGGTATCCATCTCACGAGTTCTTAGCAATCGCAGTGGCCAGTGCTGCCAAGCCCGTGGCACCGAGATGATTGTTGGAGATGTCGAGACTGAGAAGGGCATCATTGGAGAGAAGCATGGCGGCGATGGCCTTACCACCGGCAGCTTTCAACAAATTGCACGGGAGGAGCAACCTGCAATGATATAAAAACAAGGATTAACCGCAGGGAACCAATACACGCCGTCAACGTTGTGCCGGAAGGTGAGCTGGCTGTGATTGCGAAGAGGAACGAATATTACGTTCGCACTAGTGGAGATAGCTCCTTTTCTTGGCGAGGAAGTGCAAGTCTCGGATGCCATATTTCTGGCATCAGAGGCGCTGGCGATTCGTCAGAGACCATGATCAGCACGAACAAAAGCCATTTTCAAACAAGCCACGCTGCAAACGCGACTCGCTAGTGCTCCCGTTTTCTGTTGCAAAAGTTCAGTTCAAAGCACTGGGTCTGTAGTTGGCTTATTGCCAATATTTTCACCTTCTGAGAGCGTGGTTATCCGCAAGTACGCGGGCTAGTGCCGATGCGCCGTCGTTTCCTATGGTGTTGTGCCCAAGACACAGCGTCTCGAGGTGCAGAGATGTTTGTAGCGCGTTCGCGATTTCTTTCGCTCCATTGTCACTCACGCCACATCCGCCAACGTACAAACCTGTTGAGAATCAGTGCCACAAAATGAGGGGTTATTTCCTAGGCGCCCGTACCTTCACGTACCAAGAGTAAAGACTCCTCTTCAGCTTTCGGACTATACTCTACATGATCAGTTTTAAAGCATTCCGGTGACAAATGCGGTAAACCTACACACTTGTTTATTTTTTGGCGGTATCGGTATAAACCGGGGTACTTAACACGACGAAAAAGGTCGGTAAGGAGAACCATCGTTACTGGAACATCCCCTCGCAGCATAAGTTACTGTGGTTGCATCGCGACGAGATTCCACAGCTTGGTACCAACTCAATATACCGTAGGGTCACCTCGCAATCGTCGTCCAGCTACAGCACCCTTCACCAAAGGTGATACGCCTGCGTTCCCCAAGGAGTTTCCTGAAAGATGCAGCTCGCGCAACGCCGGAGAGTTCGCAAGGGCTGCCGCCACACCCTCTGCCCCAGCGACCCCAACGCGATTGCTGTCAAACATGGTAGCAAGCATCGACACGGCCTTACAAGTTACGAGAGTGCGTGTGTAGCAGATCTGTAATAGAATTGTTTTCGGCGGTTCTCCGGCCGATCCACGCTGAAACCGCGCGTTGCCGTACATCCACACACCTTGCACATACTCTTACCGTACGTACTGGAGGTAGATCTGGTACTACATTTAACACGTAATACGATTACGTGTGGTTCATGATAGCACTACTTACACCTTTTCACAAGGCAATAGAGCCACAACACATCGAACTGATAGGTACTTACGTTCTTGCTTTGATCGCACCTGCTTAACCATAGGTCAAGGAGAAACCCCCCGCTAGGTCCCACGGCGGAATCCACAATTGCGATTGCGCCGGCGTCGCCGATGAGGTTACCGGTAAGATTGAGTTGCTCCAATACAGCATTGCCGAGAAGACCTTGAGCTAGAGCGGCCGCGCCTGATTCACAAGGCAGAGCTCGAAACCACGGCGATGAAATGACGATGGTATCGGGTCGTGTTGGTGGCCATTGGCGCGCCTTACCCTCTCTGTTGCTGGTGGCATGTAGAAACTATGAACGGGCACATAGCTCTACACCATGACGAAAAGTACACGTATTAGAGGGATGCCCATTAGGAATCAAATAGTGGGAAGCATGGTAGCCTGTAGTTCGGCTACGGCTTACCGTTTGACTCAAGAGAGTACAATAATTGGGATCGACTAGGCAAGATTTTCCGTTGCCCACGTCACCACTGGTTTCCGCTTCACTATTATTCCTAGCCCCCGAACCAGTTCACAGACCAAGGTAGTATATCCAGCATTCGCCCTGGTGTGTTTTCGGTGTCTCCCTTATCTTCTAGCACGTGTATCACTCGCTAATGTGACTTTTCTCGCTGTGTGGCCAGCATGAATTAAGAGTGCGGGTGGTAGTCGGCAGGTATTTACATGGTATTTCGGACCATGAAGCACCACGAAAGTCCGTATTCTTATACAGAAAATCGTGAGCACAAAGCCCACCCACTGCGCACTTCCATCTAAAGTAGCACCTCAACAATAGCACCATATTTATGTACTTATGAAATATTGACGACTCCTCACCCGCATCTCCGATCCCGCACCGTTTGAGACTCAGCGCTCGGATTGTGGATATCCCCGTTCCGTCAGAACGCAAAAGAGGCATAAGTAGCCTAGCTCCCTCATCCTTCAGATCAGGGTTAAGCGAGCAATCCACGGACGTTGTTGACGACCTTTCCCTCAGGATAGTTGCAAGTGTCTCCGCTGCACCAGCTCCAATATTGTGGGCCGACAAGTTGAGAGAAGAAAAGTGCGGGTCCTTGCTCCACGTTTGGGCCAATTTTCGCACGGATGTGCCATCTGTTGTAAACCGAGAATCCGTAATAACGCGTCGGAAATAGAACGGCCCCCTGTAAACACACTGGTACGTACCAGCATCAATACAGAGTGTTGATTATACGTATGGATATACACGGTTCACACGAACTCCGAGAGGGTCCGCGGTAATGAATCTCGCGAACTTGTTTACAAGTATCATCAACTACACACCAAAGATCTGGTCACGGTCGTGAAGTTCCACATTACGTGGCATCTTGAAAATCGTTAAGTTTGCTCAACGGGGGGAGCAACCAGAGAGGGTGAGACAGGAGAATGATACCACTCCTGGAATCCTCGCTCCTCGCTCCTCGCTCCTCGCCTCCTCGCCTCTCGCTTGAGCTGGGGAGGCGGCGAGATTTTACCTTTTTCAGCGGTGAGAACCTTTTTGTACCCCGAACAGCAACAAAAATATCACAACAGCAGAGTTCCAGCATCTGCCCGCATATCCCCGCCTGGACGTGCTCCGCGCTCCTCCGGTCCCTCCTTCCTCCTCCCCGGTGTTTCCTCTTACGGTGGCTCGCAACTATGGAGCATGGGATGTGGCTATGTCTGATGATCGGCAACAGGTACGAAGTGGCTGGCTCTTTGATTTGCCCATGGTCGAGAATGCCTTTCGCAACATCATGAACCGCCCTGATGTACACACGTACACACGTACACACGTACACACGTACACTTCCTTCGCAGTCGCCTGCACTGGGCTCTGCTAGAGAGAGACGACGTCATGGAAATGTGGGACACCGGCCACCTACGGAAGGACGATGGAATTGAAGGCCCTACTGCTACTTCTGGGGCTGTTCAAGAAGGGATACCTCTGTCACTCATGTCTTCGAGGGCACGAGCCCTGCTAGGGGTGGGTAGGGAGGTGCAGACTATTGTTGTTGTACATGCGGTATGCTACTTCGAACTTCGAACGGATAGCATCAGCTGAGCTCACAGCATCTCTGCTGGGGTCAATTTATTTTTATTGCAATGCTGCTTACAGCTACTTTGAAAAGCTCTATGTAGAAAACTAAGTATTGTTGTGTCGACAACGACTGCCAACGTGTGATGGCCGAGTGTAGAGTATGCAGACTTGACCGTCACGTATGCATCGGTACATTGTAGATACACTTTGCACACCGGGCTTTAGGCTGGGCCATTCACGGATACAAGTAGAGGTTTGTAGAAGTTGAGTCGAGATGTGATCGCCTAGACTAATTCGAACTCTAGTTTCAGCAGTATTTACAACCGGTTTCGTTTCTTCTGTCCTTTTGGCCTTTCGTAACAAAGGTGTTGCGCTCGTCTCCCCTCCGACCTTGACTTGTACCTGGTACCAGTGATCGATTACAATGTACATGGTGCCTCGCTCTGTTGTAGACTACCACATTATCCCCGTTGGTACACGGCGCCTTAAGCTAAGACTCGTCTTGGTTTTCACACGTATTGGCGCCGACGTATGAATCGCCCTACTCAACTTTGAACTGACGCGAGTACGAAGTGTGTTGCACCAAAACATCGACCATCGTGACGGCCTACTCTCTCTGTTTTCAGGTCGGCCAGACAGTTGACGATGGCGTCCCTCCAACCGGTGACGGGGGCAACGCCTCAACGTGCTATACTGCCGATCCGAGGCGTTTCAAAGTTGCCTCTGTCGTTCCGGAGGAGTTAGAGCGTTGGCGCCGAAGATGCCCAGGCATCAGTCCGATCTCCTCTACAGATGCCCTTGCCGGAGTGCAAGAGTACCCGACGCTAGGTGTAGATAGAGCCTTGGCCGTTAGGGGTGCTGCACGGATGAGGTAAGAAATTGATATACTTGTCGCTGATCTATTAATCCGCGGGAGGGTTCTTCGAAAGCGGCGTTCTGTCCTCGTCAGGATTAGAACTCACGCAAGTCCTGCGTATTTGAGACGGCCGGTGCAGTCAGTGAACATCGTTTTCATGTTCGAGAGCTAGTCCGTCGGTGGTACGATGCGTTCTCAACGGCGAAAATTGCATTTTTTCGTAACGACGCAACCTATGAACAGCACTTCGGCACAATCCTGCCCCGCAAGGCAACCCCCGGACCGTTTGCTGCCACCGCTCATTAATCTGACAAGGGGATGGCCTGTACTGGTTATCGACTGCGGTAGCGCATTGACATTCACGGCTGCTGACGCAAGCGGGAGGCTGGCGGGAGGCGCAATCTTACCCGGAGTACGGCTCCAGCTCGCTGTGCTGGGATCTCGCACGGCGCAGCTACCTTCTGATGTCGTCTTACCGGATGAACTGCCCCTCAGGCAAGTTTTTCGGGTCCTTTCTCGCCACGCGCACGCCAGTTTTGTTTTTGTAATTTCTAGTATCCCCATAGCCGGGGGAAAACATCATCTTGGGTCTTACGTACTCTGTCGGCGCATTCGAAGGAGCTTCTGTACTGCCAAAATGCGAGTGACGTTCCTAGTCGCACGGACCACACAAGATTGAAGCACGCACAAGTCGGTCAATGTTTCTCAAAGAGCACTCTACCCGTGTTGTCGCCCCCTATGAAAAAGTATCGCCGACCGGAGCGTTGTTGCTCGGGTACTGCTCCAAGGAAGAAGAAGTTTCTTCCCAAACCACACCCGAGCGAAACCCTAGTGAAACTCCCCGTAGTGTGTGTGTTTGATACTCCGTAAGAAGATTAGCGTTCGTGCCTTGTGGCTGTCCTTCGCAATCGCCCTCCTGCTAAGAAATGCGTCGTCTTTCGTGTTACTGTCACATGCGACCTAGGTGGGCGATGGGGACGTCTGGCGGTATCCAAGCAGGTGTGATGTGGACCATTGTTGCAGGCATCCACAGCTTCATCAAGGACCGGTGGAAAATTGATCCGGACGCGACGGTCATCTTCACTGGTGGTGACGGCCAGGTAGGAGTCACTAGCTGTGGGAATGGACAAGCCTTCCAACCACACCCGATAGCCACGCCGAAGGCTACACCCGTTCAAGCACCCACCAGTTCTTGCACCTCTTTTTGTCGTTTTTCTTGCAACGTGTTAAATGTACGATACACAGGACGTTGGCATGTATGTCGTGGCTGAAGGGTTGAGGTGGTCTTTGTATTGTGCTGTGAGAGCGCTGGCTCCATGTACTCTGATATGGTTCGGACTGTCAAGCTTCCACACCAGTATTGGCGTGTTTAGGACCCATTGGAGGGACAAACTGACGAAACAGGCCGCCCTTCACATGTGATGATACCTTTGGCACATCCCCGACGACGTTTCACTCCTCTTATGCCAGGTCTTGCATCGAGCTGTGGTAGACTTTTGGGAAGCGGAGGGACCAGACTTGGTTCGAGTTCGAAATCGCCTGGAGTTCGTTCGGGAGGTTATTCATTGGGGAATAGCTTCCCTTGAGCTAGGAAAGGGCTCTGATAGTTAGTTAGAGGTGTTGGAGAGGATGTGTAAATTGTTTTTCGAAGAAGAGCGTCGTTTTTTTTATGCCAGTTCTTCTTCCTCCAACAAAATGTGAGGGGGTCCCAGGAACAGCACTTGTGAAGCCAGCAGAGAGTGGAGTATTTTTTTTTTGTCAAGCTTCAAATGAAATACATGAACGACGAAGCAAATGCAAAATTGAAATGTGCTTGACCCTTGCCGTGAGAAAAAACAGTTGGAGAGAAACAAGGTTCACTTCAAGGTGGGCGCTTTTGGGCGCATTCACCATTGTAACAAGCGCTTGTGATGATGGTGGTGGCCATAAGTGAAGCAGCGAACTGCTTGGACTGCGACCAACTGCTTCGACTGCGCTTCCCTAAGAAGCAGAGACAACACAGTCGGTGTTTCACAGCAATTAGTGCTGGTTTGATGGGCAAGTTCTTGAACAGCACATCGAAGCAAGACGGACCCTAAACGTACAAACCCCGCAAAGAAAGACTCCAGGCCGGGATGAGCATTCAAGCATAAGCAGATCAACCTACCTGCGCACAACTTTCGTGATGTCTAGAACTTATCTTTTGAGAAAAAGTCCACACACCAACGGCCGCAGTCTATCTTGGTATCAACGTGGGGGCGGACCATATACGCCCAACAAAAACGGAAATAATTTATTACGCTCAACACAACACGAAAATTTTTGCTCAACATGCTGTAATACAGAGCGTTCCAGAGCCACCGCTGCGCTCACACCCTCAGCAGGGGCAGAGCCGATCGCCGGTGCGTTGTACGAAGCAGCTGGACCGCCCATCACTAAGGGGGCTTGCTTCTTCGCGCTTCTCTCTGCTCCATCAACCTAATTTTCTCTCTCTCAATATCTCTCCGAACTCCTTCGCGCATGGCCTGCATGGTCAATGTGTGCAGCACAACGAGAAACAGTTTCCGCACTGTGAGGATATGCGTTGTGTGTCCAAGTGCGAGGTGGTGACGGCAGGTGTGTGGTGCAAACGAGCAAAGGTGGCCTGACATGGGTAAATATCGAACCCGAGCCTGTATGGACCCGTCGCGCCAACCATTCAAACGCAGTAGACAACGGCATTCGTTCACAAACATGCTGCAGTATGGTCATTGCCAGCGTGTGAGAGGGTGCATATTGTCATGAGGAGGATGCAGTCACAGTCTGATACTGGATCCGAGTGGTGCGCGCCAACGCCAGCCGCCACTACCATACATGTGGCATCTTCCTCAGTCTATTTCAAGAGTACAGCACTAGCTATTCTCTCCTTCCCTCCCTGCCTCCCTCCCTCTTTGCCTCTTTCGCGGTGCGGGGACAAATGAATCGGGCTTAAGCATTGGCCGGGGGGAACCCTATCTATATCGTCTACTACGAACTACTTACAGCCAGTCTCCTATGTTGTGCCACGAGGTCACCCGGCGAAAGCTTCGATACCTTTTCAAACACGGCGTTGATATTGTACCACGTCGCAGGAGTTCAATGGGTACAGCAGTAAACAGCCGCTCCCGATGATTGAGAAAAGAAATTTCATTGAGAAACAAAATTTTGGCCGGCGCACAACAATTGGCCGAAACGTTTCCTCCCACGCGACCATACCAAAATGCCAGGCCCGGCGAAAAAACAAATTTCACGCCGCGTGGGGAAAGCGACCGCAAAGCCGGCATAGACTGCTGTAGTTGGAAACAGAAACACAGCCTTGAAGAACTTTCCACACACCCTCCGATTGGCTTCATACAGCCTGTTCATGTGCTTGCTTGGAGTGGAACATGTTGGACGGCGAAGTTCTTCCGTGCAGCTTCGCTCTCCAACTCTTGAAACCGCTGGCGGCCGGCCTTGCTCGGCCTTGAGCAGCTCTAAGCTGTGGTCCTTCTCTGTAGGATCAGAAAACTTCCTGCCACATTGCTGTAGGCAGCAACTGTCCGCGACCACGGAGGATACATCTCTCGATTCGGCACGCCGACGTTTTTTTAGAACCTCTGTCGGCGGTGTAGAAGGGAGCTCTCCTGCGCCTGGAGATGACGATGAAGTTTCTCCAATTCAATGGAGTCCGAGGCAGGGCCAGCTACGGCGCCGAAGAAGGCTAGTGTCTGGACTACTAAGGACCATGGGGTGTCTGGTCAGGTAGACTGCGAGAAGGGTCATCGCGGGCAACAACCTCTCTCTGCTAAAAGAAGGTAGTAGGTAGGTGTGAAACTAAAAATTCAAGTTTGGAGTGGCAAACAATACCTCTGCAGAGGATCCGTGCAGAGGAATTTTTTGCTACGAACTTCCTCCTCCTAGGGTTTGGTCGGAACTCAGACAACCATAGACACGACCGAAGGGTTGATTCGGAATTTATTGGGGGTTATTTCGTTATTTCGTGTCCAAACGGTGTTGCCGGGGAAATAATTGTCCAGCGGAGGTTTAATGCAGATTTGGATTTTTCTGAAACGTCACGCTGGTCTGCTGCCGTCGGTCCGTTCCCCGAAACCTCAAACACGTGAAAGTGAGTCAACGCAGTTTCGGCGTTCCGATCGGAACGCGGAAACGTTTTCGCAGTCTGTTCTATTATCAACATATTCACCACCATCGGAACGCCGAAACGTTTTGGCCGTCTGGTGTATTTTCAAGTAACCTCAAACAATGTTTCCGCGCTTGTAATCGGACACACGCAGGGCCAACAATTTATCGGCTCACACACCGCGGCCCACACACCCACACGCTATACCCTCGCGCTCCAGGTCCCCACGTACGGCGTCAGCCTCGTGTGAAGTTCTTCAAGGCCGCGTTTCCTGTTTCCAACAACAGCAGTCAGTCTATGCCCGCCTTGCAGCCGCTTTGCCCATGCGCGTGAAATTTGTTTTTCAAAGGGCCTGGCATTTTTCAGGGTTTTCCGCTGGATCACCTAAATAAAACCGAAGCCCACACCCCTTTTTCCTAACACCACGCGGTGACCTCTACGGCAGATCGCCCCTTGGTCCTACAGGAGCAGCTGCAGTGTGCACTTTTCTCATTGCTGCTTGCTGCTGCTGCTGCTGCTGAAATTGTACTCCACTACCTCATCACCGCCGTTGCTTATCCAATCCCCCGATGAAACCCCCCCACAATTAGTACTGCTGCGTATGTAGTAATTTGTCACAGCAGTGTACCAATTTGGTACCAAATGGTATTTTTTTTACATGGGTGCACTTGGGGTGCATCTTCTGCACAAGATCTCTGCCCGTCCAACGGGTCGATCAACTAACTGGAGCGGGGAATCTCACAGTACATTGACGAAGTTATTACTGATCAGACAAAACCCTGGTGCAAGGATATCATACTGCTGTGTACGGGCTTGAGCCCTGACAGCAGAGTGCATTGGCAACATGACAAAAGAGTCACAGGGGTGGGACCTACCTCTTTCTCGCTCTTCTGGTTGTGATGTACGTAAATGATGGTCGATACCACAGCAAGGCATACTGTACCGAATAGTGCCGGAGCTGCGCCGAGCCCTACCGCAGGCTTGCCCATCGTGTGTCCCTGGTACCTAGCACTGCTGGTGTGCAGTGAAGAGTGCAGTGTTCGGTGGGCTGTGGGGTCGCGACAGACCAGAGAAATGAAGTATCCCTCCCCCCACTTTTTCGAGCCCTAATCCCTGTTCGCGCACCCCTCTTTGATAGTTTGAGAGCTGCAGAGCTGCAGCTGGTCCCAGCAGCGCCCCGGGCCTGCAGGGTGCACAAGAGAAGGGTGGAGAAAAGGAAAAACGGAGAGCAAGATTGGAGAGGAACTGAGTGAGAGGATCGAGAGAGCGCACCAGCGCTCTTTACAAGGGTAAGTTTGGAAGATGCGGCCGACATTGTTGTGCACGCCTCCCAGCAGGTTGCCTTTTCTGACCTCTCGCTTGCAGTCGGATATCGCGCTCGTGCTTCTCCTCCTGCTTGCTGAACTTAGTCTGGATTGTGAAGAACTCCATGAGGCTTCGTGGTGTTGTACGCGGTTACAAGTCGACACTGATCACGTCTATATCGGGTTATCTGGAGCATGGCTTTGGCTTGAGTACAATCTTCACTTTTTTTGGGCGAAATCCTGCTGTGCTGTCTGACGACGGGTTTGAACCACCAACGCAAGGTCGTTGAAATCCTACGCTTTCTCTGCGCTGCCCGCACCCCTTGATGCCAGCGTCTCCTCATTTACTCTAGTGTTATCGTTTCTATCAGAGGTTCCTCCCAGTGTTATCGTTTCTATCAGAGGTTCCTCCAATTTACACTCTTGGTTGGGGTCCTATAGCCAGAGGTGCTGACAAGAGCTGCCCGCGTCGCAGTGTACATTGTTTTTGAGATATGTTTTTGGCGCTTTTTTTACTGAGATACACCACCCCACACAATCTTGCCACAAATCCACGAGACTCCCAACTAACCCAACAACACGCCACCAACCATCCGGTATTGCATGCGTACAGGTCGCTTAGGATGCTTGGGCGAATTGGGGGAAGTTTTCCAACGGAGTCTTCCTTCGTAATAGTCCACCCGAGCAATGATGCACACTTACCCACACAAAGAGATAAATTTGAATGTACCGATTAAATTCTGCCGGTACAGTATCTCATGAATCGTACAGTATAGTCACACTGTCCACCCCACGAGAGGTGTCAACGACAACATGCTGGCTGGCCCAGAGAGTTGCCTGATAACCTCGTGACGGCGAGAATTGGGCGGCCCTTTCATATGCACTATGCTCGTATGCATATGCATATATGTCCGGACCTTCCAGCTCACCAGCTCTATTTTCACGTCATGCGCTAAGCCTCCCCTGATATTAAGGTGCCAAGCACGTATCACCGACAAACACATCTTCAGTCTGCGATAGTAAGTGCCGTGGTGTTGCGTCAAGGTTAAGAGGCACTTTTCGGACCCTCGCGTGTTTTCGGTCCTCCTCCTATCCTGCGCACCTGTCACACAGGACGGAGGGACGGAGGGGCGGACGGGCGGGCGGACGCTAAGGCCTACTACCTCCCTTGAGCGCTGCCCTCCTGCAGCGTCCGAAGGTCGGTTCCGTTGGCTTTTTCGTGTACCGCTCCGTGGAGATGGCCGCTATGCTGTTCTCTGATGCCGGTGGGAAGGAAGGAAACATGTGGGGAGATAACAGCGCCAACTCGAACGGCGGTGTCAGCTCGGAGAAGAATGGCGCTGGTTCTCCTACAGGCAATGGCGTACCTGCCGCCGGAGCATTTGCGACATGCCACGCTTGCACCACGGCCCGAGTTTCCCGTAGTGTGACGTGCCAGGGTTGCGAAAAAACGTTCCACTGGACGTGCATGGGGTTCTACGAACACAAGTACCAGAGGCCAGGACCCAACTGGAGGTGCAAGGACTGCAAAACGGCCGAAGCTGGTGGAGGAGGAGAGGCAGCATCTCCAGCAGCGCTGGCGACTCAGGCAGTGCAATTGCCGGAGTCAGGAGAAGCGATAGATGTGGATGACTCCCTGGCAACCTCGCCGGAAACCGTGCCTCCGGCAGCAGCCGTTCCAACTGAGACGGTTACATCATCGGTGGCGGTTGCGTCCCCGTCGGCGCCGGCGCCGGCAGCTACACCTCCGGTAGAGGTGGCAGCGCCGGCTGCCCCGACTGTACCGTCGTCTACGGGCGAGCGTATCTGCCCGGTTTGCAAGAAGGGCCTTGGCCGAAAGCGGACCATGGACTGCAGCGTGTGTCGCACACCGTCGCACGCGGGGTGCGTCAACGTCAGGGGCGCCGAGACGCCAAAGAGCTGGGTATGCCGTGATTGTAAGCCGGGTGCCCAGACGACCGCGGGAGGGTATCCAGGGGATGGAGCGGGGGCGAGAGCAGCGAGGCCACCGGTCGCAGCGCAAACGGTGAGTGTGGGGTCGGTGGCGTGCCGAGGGTCGACCTTGCTCTCGATCCAAATCCAGAAGTAGCGCTTGGGGGTTTGTGTGTGGCGCACGGGGGCGGAATGAAACGGGCGAGCAGGTTGAGTCAGCCGGGTGTGGCGTCAATCTCACACACGTTTGCATAGCTCATGGTCTGAGTTGAAGCTACGGCTCAGCCTTGCAAAACATGACCGGGAAATCACACCAGAGAGATCGAGATAATTAGATGCAACGGGGGATGAACCACAACCTTTTGAGTATTCACCTCATAGTCTAGACGTTTGACGTATTTGAAGTTTGACACCTTGAGCTCGTATGGATGATGTGGTAAACTCTTTTTTTGGTCTAGTGCACCACTCCCGCAGCACACCAAACCAGTCCTTTTTCGCTCACACTCTTGGGACCCCCTCGAAATGTGTTGTCCTATTGTCTGCTGGTGTGTCCGCGACAGCGTCCTCTTGTCGCCTCGGCTCCTCCTCAAGCTCCTCAAGCTCCTCCTCCTGAGGACTTGCTGGGTCACCTCATCCACCAAAGGCCGCGCTCCCGCCAGAAACAGTCGATTTCTCCCATAGTCTCCACAGCAACCCTGGCTTATCGCCGCGATGAGAGTGCCTCACGTGGCGCCAGCGGCAGCGACAGCGTTGGAGTGCTTGGCGAAGACTTGCCCGACTTCGAAGGGTCGGGGGAAGAGACTGACTCGGACCAGGACAGGAGGTCTCCGCGCTCTAGTGCGGCGGCCAAGGTTGCGGAGACGGCGGCGAAGGAGCTTGTGGCGACGGCCAAACTAGAATCGCTGATGAGTCAGCGGGACAAGGTGATGGGCGGCATGGGGGTGGCTACGGCCGCTGCGTCTGGGAAAGAGGGACGTGAAACAGGAGGGAGTATATCGGCAGGGTCGGGAGCAGCAGCCGAAAAAGGCGAGGGTGAAGACCACGGTCGTGACGCGCCCGCGGAAGGCGTCGAAGATAGCTCCCCGTCTCCCAGAAGATCCCAGCGGAAGGGCGCTGCTCAGCAGGAACCACCGCCTCCGCCGGCAGTAGAACCACCGAGCGCGTTACTGCCGGTGCCCCCGCTGCCGGGATTTTCTTCGCAATCTTCCTCGCCGAACCCTACGGCCACGCCTGAGGCCAGCGGTACGACGGCCACGGAAGCTCCTCGGCGGCCGCCGCCGCCTCCGCCGCCGCCCCCGCCGCCGCTGCCATCAGCCGGACCGCCGGTTTCGGTGCAGCAGCACGTGGTCGGTGATGCGGGGGTGGAACCACCGTTGCCCCCACCGTTGCCCCCACCGTTGCCCCCGCCGTTGCCCTCGCCCGACGCGCCGCCGCCGTCGACCGCGTCAACAACATCGTCCCCCGGCGTTCAGTTTTCATCGACGGCGAGCACCGTTCCGGGCGCGGAGCCTTTCTCACCCTCCGCGGAGGGGTGGTCTCTGGGGCACACGGGAGCGCAGCCCCCGCTACCGCCGTCGGCACCGCCCCTGCCTTCGCCTCCACTCCCCCCTCCGCCCCCTTGTCCGCCTAGATCCACCGGGGGCATCGGGTGGGCGGCCGGCGCATCGAATGCCGAGATGGAACTCATTCCGCTCGGCAGGTCGTCGTCGGGTGGGAAGGGCAAAGCCTCGTCAGAAACGGACCGTTCCAAGGGGGCGGGGGCGGGGGCGAAGGCGGTAGGGACGGGCAGGAAGTCGTTCTTGTTCTCTGACGAGGAGCAGAGAGCAATGGAGGGTGTTTCTGGCGGAGGCGGTAAAGCAGCGAAGGGGAAGCCCACGGCGATTCCGGCGGCAAGGAAGAAGGTCAAGAAGAAGCTTGGGGCCGGGATCAAGCCGAAGGTGGCTACCGTGTTTACGGATGAGGGCCAAGCTGCCGCAGCACGGAAGGTGGGTCGCGTTGCTGGAGAATAACGCTGTCTTGCCCATTGTGTTGCCATCACGCCGAGTGTGTGCGAATGCCTCAGGTTGGGTCTGGAAGATATGTGGAGACAAGGGTGGTTCTCCTCATACGCCAAAAGGGCTACGGTACTCTTGGTATGCCACTGGTGATGATTGTTGTCACGTTTGGAGCGAACGGTACGTGTTGCCTGTGTCCTTTTGGCGGGTCAAACTTTGCGGTTGGCACCTGCGTAAGAATACCGGTCCTCCGTGCTCTTGCGTAAGGTGAATTTTAGCCTTGACCGTCGACAATGTTGTCAACAGGAATCATAATGTCGATACCATTGCTGGTTCTGGCTGACCAAGCGGAACAGGTTACTGCTTAGACAGCTAGGGTGCTGGCTATCTCAGGTATTCAATGTTAACACGGTGCGCCATTTCTTACTCACTCAGTATCGGTATGCCCCTCCCTGTCCTTCGGCGGCTTGGCTGGGCGTCTTGTTCGGCGTCACAGAAGCGGCCACCATCTCCCGCGGGACCGCGCAGCCACCAGGTGTTCAACGTGAGGGAGATGATCGAGTCGATGCATGGTCGTGATTCGCCATCGGAGATTGGCAGCGGCGGCTCCGCTGCCGCGCCGCCCGTGTTGCTACCCCACAAGAACGTTCCCGCGCGCGCAACAGTTGTCGGGCCACGTACCAGGGGACAGCGGACGCGCTGGGCTCCGCCGCCGGTAGGCGTTACCGATGTGAAAACGCTGTCTCCAACAACTGCTGCTACGGATGCAGGTGCCAAGCCATCCCCCGTGCATACCACGCCTACAGGTCGGCAGGAGAAGCAAAGGGGCAAAGGTGGCGAGCGTAGCGGGAACGGTGCTTCGTCTCGCACGGTCGGAGGCAAGAAGAAACCAAACTGCGACAGGAAGAAAGATGGCCGAAGAACCAAGTGCAGTAGCAGCAGCACCGCCACCAGCAGGAGTAGCAGGAGTGGCAGCAGTGGCAGCAGTGGCAGCAGCAGCAGCGGCAGAAGCGGCAGTAGCAGCAGCAGCAGCAGCAGCGGTGGCCGGAGCAGGACGAGCAGCAGCAGCAGCCGCGAAAGCAGAAGGTCCACCCGTGGTGGGAGTCGAAGCCGAACCCACAGTCGAAGCCGAACCCGCAGCCGCAGCCGCAGCCGCAGCCGCAACGGTACCCGCGACTACCATCGGCGCCCCGATCATCACCTCAGTAGAGGAGGGGGGCGCAGCGGTGGCAGGTCGGGTGGGCGCGGCAACAGCCGTGACCATCGCGACCCTAGCAGGAGCAGCTATGGGAACAGCCGCGGCCGAGAGGAGCGGGGCCGACCCGACGCTCGCAACCAGGACTCCTCGCGGGGAGGCTGGAGCGGCAGGGGCGGCGGCTCTCGTGTCTCTGGTGACAGCAGGGAGCGGGTGGGGGGGCGCGGGTTCAACCACGGTGGGCGGGGGGGAGTGTGGTGGCCAGGAGAGGGCAGAGGAGAGCAGTTGTTTGCGAAGCGGGCCGAGTCAAGCATGGCAAGGAAGGGCGGTGGTAGTGGCGGGCGTGCCCAGCACGTCCGAGGGAACAGCTACGACAAGGACTCGCGTGGGGGGAGAGGTGCTTGCCGTGACCGCTCAGGTCCCGGTCGTTCTAAGGACTTCGAGGCCAGCGACCCCTACGGGCGTGATCCACGCGGCGGGGGCAGTAGCAGCGGCGACCGCAACCGGAGCAAGAGCTCCGAGAGGCGGGGGAGGGGGCGAGACATTGACGAGGACGTCATGCGCGCCAGACGTAAATACAGCGGTGGAGAGGTTCGGTCTCCAGAAGCTACCCCTCGTCGCCAAGACGCACGCCGGCGTCCAGAGACTCCTGCCGCAGGATCCACAAAGTCGAAGCCTTCGCCACGAGGCCGGGCGTCTCTCACTCCGCTGAAAAGCGCGGGCTCGAGCACGGATCACCATCTTGAAGGAGCAACCGATGGCAGCGCTTCGCGGGGCCGAGGGACCAAAGGCCACCAGCCCGTGCACGCGCCCAACACCATCTGTGCGCAGTTCGACCAAGTACCCTTGCCACCTTCCATCGGGTACAACGGCATGGGCGGCGACGACTTTATTTCGTCCCTGGAAGATCCGCTGTCCGATTCCTTCATGTGCGGAGCATTCCCGAACGTGGGGTCTCCGGTTCGCCGCTCAAGCAGGTCCTCGTCCATCACTTCACCCTCCCGAGCCAACCACGTGTCGTCTCCTGCGATAACCGTTGGTGGTGGAGATGCTGCTGCTATGGCTAGCCCGGATGCGGCTACGCCTGGGCCGAATACCCCCGGTGCTCCGGCACCTACCACCCCCTTCTCTCCCTCCGAGCCCGGTCCCTCCACAGCGTCGAACGAGCCCAAAGCGACTGCAGCCTCCGGGAAATCGGGCTGTGGCAGGGACATTGCGCCTATGGAAGGTGGCGTCATCCAAAGGGAGAGGGAACAGGTGTGCAACGATGCGATGACGACAACCAAGGACGACATGCACGGGGCGCCTTATTCCTCTGCACTCTCATGCCTCCCCCCAGCACCGGAGGAGCCTTCGGCGGTGCTACCGACGCAGCTGGCGGCGGCGGAAGTTGGCGGGCCGACAGCCTCCCCTCTGCCGACGACGGAGCAGTCGCCGCAAGAAGGTGATGCTGCTGTGCGCCCGTCGGTGCCGCCCCTGCCTCCCGCGGACGGCGGCGTCGAGGATGCGGGCACCGCAGAAGACGGATCCGCCTCGCCGGCTGCCGCCGCGTTGGCTGGCACGGAAGCAGTAGCGGTCCGCAAGGAAGACGCAGAGAAGGACCCTACCACGCCTTGTGCGAGCGAGGAAACGGGTGGGTCCGCGGCCGCTGACGACATTGGTCCATCGCCAACTGGTGAGGGGGCGGTTGGAGAAGCCGTCGGTAATGGTTCGAGGCAGGATGGAGTGTCTGATCGTCGCCGTTCGGAGGTGGGAGGTGGAGGAGACGATGCTGCCGCCAGCGGGGGGGATGCAACGGCGCCGAACGAGGGCGAGGGAGGGGAGCAGGGAAAGGAGGAGGATGGGATCCAAGAGGACGAGCAGAGCGCTGGCGAACGGACACCTCGACGCTCGACCGATGTCAAGAGCTCCTGGTACTCGAAAGGCACCATGGTCGTCTTGCACTGCGACTCACCAGCTCAAGTCAGAAGCACGAGCAACCCTGTCCTTCCGCTGTCAGACCTACTCGGCAGACCGGTGAGCAGACGACGCGTCGGAGTGTTTTTTCGGATACGAGAGGGTCGGGAGCGGTGATGTCTCGCTCTTCTGGAGACAGCAGTCGATATTCGCAGCCTTTCGTGGTTGCCTGTTTAGTGTGAATTATCAACTATCGTAGACACGCCAGGTCGCCTTTGTCCGGATGAGCTGAGCTGTTAATTATAGCCTAATCTCTCCCACCGGTGTGCGCGTCGTTGATGTATTCCTCCGGACCGCAACAGGCCCGAGTCATCCGGGAACCCACTCACCGCATGGGACAAAGATATCACTTGGTGGAGTTCCAGCCATGGGAAGGTGGTCCAGACACGGTGGTAACGCTGCGCGCGAAAGCGAAATTACTCAAGCCAGCACCTCTAGACTCCGTCTTCGCCCCTGCCGTCGTCAGTGACGGCCGTGATAGTGGCGTTTCGACCGACGGTGGCAGCGCGAGCGCTCGGCTAAGCACGGCTAGAGCGGAGAGCACACCCGCGGGAGCCGGCGCAGCGCAGCGTGTCTCGCGCAAGACTGTAGCGGCCACGAGGCCACGAAGGAGATCGACACGGGGAGCCATCAAGGCTACGAAGCAGAGCGTCTCCGTGGACGCGGGCGAGGCGGGGTGTGAGCAGCCGCCGCTGGCAACGGCACGAGTTGTGAAGCGCGAAGGGAAGGGGAACGAGGAGGCTGAGGAGGACGACATGGAGGTTGACGTGGAAGGGGAGGAAGAGGAGGAGGAAGAGGAGGGGGGGGAGGAGGACGCAGCAGATGGTAAGGAGTGCAGAAACCGATTGCGTGAAATGATTAGCTGGTGTGCGTCTCGTCGGTATTGATGTCACTCAGTACGCAACAAATGCATGACAGAGTTCTCATCTACAGCACCTCCCTCCCCCCCCTATTGTGTTTTGCGTTCTTCCGCGTTTTTAACAACCCCCCTCGTACGGGTCCCTGTTCTCCGTTCTTAACGGGGTGTTCCCCTCAACCGAAAACACCCTAGACGCAATCGGCGCCAAGAAGCAATCCGCAATCGTGCATTCCTCGGGGGGTGATAACTCTATGGCGGAGGAAAGAGTTGGCAAGGGCCGGTCGAAAGAGGAGGAGGAAGAAGAGGAAGAGGAGAAGGGGCAGGAGGAGGAGAAGGGGCAGGAGGAGGGGCAGGAGGAGGGGCAGGAGGAGGGCGTCGCTACCAAAGCCGTATTGGACACCATGGCCATGCCAAAGGAAGGAGAGCCGCTTGACGACCCCCGAAAGCCGATGCTGATTCCTGTAGGCACGAGGGTGGTCGTGAAGCAAGCCCCGGCGGAGAGTTCTCGTCCGCGCGGTTGTCAACTCAAAACGTCAGATTTGGTGGGAAGGACGGTGAGACGTGCGACAACGTAGAGGCGTTACGATTTCACTGGAGGGCGCAGGAAGGATGGGGCATGGGAGCAGGCTACTGTTGGTATGCCCATCTGACATAAGAGTACCGAGAGGGGGTGATTGGTTTGTAAGTTCGACAACCTCTGTCTCATCCACGCCGTGTTCCAACCTGCTACCTTTGCTGCTTGTGCGTGTCAGGGCGTGGTGACGAAGATGGCGACACACGTCCAGGGTACCCGTCACCACATGGTGTCCTTCGAGCCTTGGCCGGGTGGGCCGAGCACAACGACCAGCTGGAACTTCGCGCGCAAGCGCCTTGCCCTGTGCCCTTCCGGCATCAGCTCCGGCGGTGCCAGCGTCAGCGGGTCTCGTGGGGCCGGGGCTGCTCCAGCGAGCAGAAGAGAGGGGAAGGCCAAGGGTGCCGGGGCAGAGGCAGCAGCAGCAGAGGAAGCAGCAGCGACACAAGAGGAGGAGAAAGAGGAAGAGGGGGCTAAGGAAGGCGGACGGGCCAGGCCCACGCCTCCAAACACCGAGAATTTGCCTGCCGGCACTGTGGTGGTGGTGCGGAGTGTTGAGACCGACCCGGGCAGGACTCTGAAGTTCGCACGCGACGAAACGTACGAGGCGGGTTTCCAGGAGGTTCTGGGACGAGAGGTTAGTCTCGACCAACACTCATGTAACCGGCCGGGCCCACATGGCGTACGCACGCAGCAGTCGTGTGTCCTGTAGCAGTCGTGAGTCTCTATGGTGCTGGCTAGACATTGACGTTGTTGTGCACTTTTGATGCCTCGGTAGGGTGGGCCGAGCTGGTGCTTGCAGGTTCCCTTAACCGATCTCGTTTTCAATCCTCTCTTGCCGGAAACAGGGTATTGTGGTCAGTGGGCCCACCTCCACAACGAAGGGATTTCGGTACCACCTCGTGCAGTACGAGCCTTGGGAGGGCGGTCCGACGCGACCATTCACGTGGAACGTCAAGGTGGCATCCCTCGAGGTACTCCGTCGCCCCCGGACCGATTTCGCCTCAGGCGACAGCGTGCAAGAAGCGGACGTTAACATGGCTGAGGCTGGCACGCCCTGGGAGGAGGAGGAGGAGGAGGAGGCGGCGGCGCCAACCCAGGGCGGGAACGCGGCCGAAGCCGGAGCCGAGGCCGAAGCCGAGCCTGAGTCGGCTGAGGTGCCGGCCGCAGGCGGTCCTCCTGCCGCGGAAGCCTCTACTAAGACGGTAGCCTCGGAAGAACCGCTTTCGCCGAGAGGTCGCTCGCGAGCTCGACGGCACCCTTCTTCCCTGTACGGCACGACCGCCGACGGCGGGGAGCAGGGAGACCCCGGTATGGAGGAGCAGAAGTCGAGCGAGTCTGAGGCGAGAGTGCTGCTGCAGGCAGCGGCGGCGGCAGCGGCAGAGGCGGCGGCGGAGGCAGCGGCGGCCGGGGGAAGCAGGAGCAAGGAGGCCAGCGCCGAAGGGAGTAGTGGGGCCACCGCTGCTGCCGGCCGAGGCACCATCAGCAATGGTAGTGGCCAAGCGCCTGGTTCAGTTAAGGACATTCCTCAGGGCGCGAGCAGCAGCAGCAGTAGGGAGGCACAAGAGAATCTCCCTTCACACCGTGTAGCGGCGGACGGGCTGGGGTGTGGTTCTGTTTCGCCGCCATCTCGCACGACGAGGTCGTCGTCGATCTCGGCGGAGAGCGCGGCGGACGTCGCCGAGATCGGTGGCGCTGTTCCCGCAGTGACCGACCACGAAGCCTCAAGGAGCGAGGGCAAGCGAGGCGCAGCGGAGATGGCGGCGAACGGAGAGCCGGGAAGGCTTCGAGTGGAGGTGGAGGAAGGGGAGACAGCGGTGGGAGCCGGTTTGGATAGCCCAGCAAGCGCCGTCAAGAGAAGGCGATCGCAGGCGACCCTGCTGCTGTCCGACGACCCACTACCAGAAGAGAGCGGCGCGCTGAACAGTGATAGCCCAGCGAGGGCCGGTCCGGCTGACAAGGGAGCGGTGGTGTCAGGTCGCTGCGAGACAGAGGAGCCGCTGAGTGCGACACAGATGGCCACGGCGGAATCAGAGCGCGTAGCCGCCGAAGCGGCCGCCGCAGCCGCAAAAACGGCTGAAAAGGAGGCGGCGGAGGAGGAGGAGGCCGCCAGGGTTGCCGAAGAGAACGCCAAGGCGGCGGCAGCCAAAGAAGCCAAAGCAGTCAAGGCAGAGAAACAGAGGGCCGACAGGGCAAAGGCGACTAAGGCCGCCCATGCTGCTAGGGCCGCCAATGCTGCCAGAGCCAAGCAGAGGAAAGAATCCAAGGCGAAGGCAATGAAGGAGGCTAGGGCTGCAGCTGCTGCAAAAAAGCAAGCTCAAGACGCGTTGGACGCCCAAACTGCGTTAGACGCTCAAGCCGCTACGGAAGCTGCTTTGGAAGCTCAAGCCGCCAAGGAAGCTCAAGCAGCTGTTGAAGCACAAGCTGCGTTGGAAGCTCAAGCTGCCAAGGACGCTCAAGCGGCTCTGGAAGCACAAGCTGCGTTGGAAGCTCAAGCTGCGTTGAAAGCTCAAGCGGCTCTGGAAGCACAAGCTGCGTTGGAAGCTCACGCAGCCAAGGAAGCTCAAGTTGCGTTGAAAGCTCAAGCTGCCAAGGACGCTCAGGCTGCTTTGGAAGCTCAAGCTGCGTTGGACGCTCAAGCTGCCAAGGAAGCTCAAGCTGCCAAGGACGCTCAGGCTGCTTTGGAAGCTCAAGCTGCGTTGGACGCTCAAGCTGCCAAGGAAGCTCAAGCTGCCAAGGACGCTCAAGCAGCCAAGGAAGCTCAAGCAGCTTTGGAAGCACAAGCTGCCAAGGAAGCTCAAGCTGGCAAGGACGCTCAGGCTGCATTGGAAGCACAAGCTGCCTCGGAAGCACAAGCAAGCGCGCGCGAGGCCCAGGGCACCGAGGAAACTACTCCCGAATCTCAAGCTGCCAAGGACACGCAAGCGGTTGAAAGCACCGCGGCAGGTGCAGAGGCGGCAGGAGACGCCCAGGCGGCGCCTAGGACCTCCTCAGACGGGGAGAAAACGAGGGAGGAGTCTTCGCCGACGGTTGTCGGGAGCGATGTGGAAGGAGTTCAGCCTCAGCAACAGCCGCCGGCAGCCGCGGCGGCGGAGGTGGTGGGTGCCACCGCGCCGCCTTCTGAGAGGCGTGCCCAGGAGGAGCGCCAGCAGGAGGGCGCCGCCGGTGCGACTTGGGATGGGGCGAGGGAGAACGTGAGGGCGATTCGGTCGACGAGGAAGGCCGCGGCGGTGGCCACTCAAAAGGTGCGCCTTCTATTGTGGTATACTTGACTGCTGCCGAGGTTTCCGGGAGAGAGATTGTACTGCTGTGCGACATTGTTTTGGGCCGACCGTGCTGGTTCTCTACGGTTCTGACGGAGAGGAGTGTAGGACACAACGCGAGTGTTGCAGCACGCAGCGTTTTGGGTACCAGGGTGTTTTGGACGAAGCTGGAGGTCACGTTCACTTGCTGAGTGGGGGAGACGTTCCGACGGTTTTTGATATCGGGTGCGAAATGCAGACGATTGTCGTCTTTGTGTTGCAAGAGAACGATGCCCGGGGTGACCTCTCACTTATCCTACAAGCTGTTGCGAGACTGCTTTTTTTTGTGTAGCTCCGAACATATTAGATTCCGTGGCTTTCCTAGTCGCCTTCTTTTGTTGATTTTCGCTTTTTCCGTTTTATCCTCCAGATACGAAAACGAAAGAGTGACGGCGGTGGCTATACCGACCGGGCCGCAGGAAGCGAGGGCAAGCGCAAACGCGCCGCGGCATCTTCATCGCATGACAACGAGCTTTCGCCCGACAACGACAACGCGCCCCGAGAGGACGAAGGCGGCGCCGGTCGCGCGGAAAAGGGCAGCGAGGACAAGGAGGTGAGTGTTCGTGTAATAAACGTTTTGCGACCGGCGGGGGGGGGGCTGGGGGCGGGGAGTGGCACTGTCAATGACCGTCGTTTTTGTTTTTGTGCCTCGCGTTTTTTTTTTGTGGCCCTGGTGCGTACGATGCCCTAGATGCGGACTAACCTGGTTGGGTGCAGTACACCTACCGATTTTCGTGGCCGAGAGAAGAGGCAATGCTACTTCGCGTTCTTGCAGCCCTGGTGATTCTACCCGTCGCTTGCACCGTGCTCGTATCGGGGGATTTCTCAGGTCCGCCCTCAGCGGACCGGATGCAAAGCCGCCATTCCCCGAAACGTGCCCCGACCTCGGTGTCTTGCTTTCGCTTTGAAAAAACACACACAGGGCCGGGCAGAAGTAGCAGTGGAGGAGGAGGAGGAGGAGGCGAGGCCACCGCCGCTCGAGACAGGCAAGGGATCGAGCGATGGCCTTCCTGACAGCAGCAGCAACCTTGCCGATCCTGCTACTGCTGCTGTTGCGGCCGTGCCTGCCGAGGCCGCCGTTCCCTGCGAGCCTACCGACACCGGTGCCGTACCCTCTGCCGTACCCTCTGGCGGCACGCACTCGGCTGAGCATGCGCCCTCACCCGCAGTTACCGCGGCCGGGCCGGCTCACGATACCGCTTCTGCAGAAGTATCACCTGTTGCTGCTACTGATGCTGCTTCTGATCCTGCCGATGCTGAAGCGAATGCCACGCTAGATGCGGTTGAAGCGCCGCCTCCTGGTGCTGAGCCTGTTGCCGTGGCCGCTTCGGCACAGGCACCACCACGTGCTGGTGCTGCTGGTGCTGCTGGTGCTGCTGCTGCTGCCGATGCGGTTTCCGTGCCTGCCACGATTGAGGCGCCTGCGTGTGGTAGTGCCTCCGCTCGTTCTGATGATGCTGTGGCCGCTACTGCCATGGTCGAGGAACCCAGTGTTGCTGCTGGGGCTCCTGCTGATGCAGGTGCCGCGACCGCTACGGCTGAGACATCTGCTTCTGCTGCTGCCGCTCCTGGGAACGCTGATGTGGTCGTCACGGCAGAAACGGTCGAAACACCTGCTGCTTCTGCTGCTGCCGCCGCTGCGGCTGCTGCCTTCCCGGCTGTAGAACGCCAGGTGCGGGCTCTCGCGGCCTCGGTTGCTGCTGCAGGAGCGGTCCCAGCTGCGGCAGGGGGGCCGGCAACAGCGGGGCCGGTTGAAAGCGTGGCGGGGGCTGGAGGAGTGGACATGCAACGGTTACTGGTGGTGAGATTTTTTGCGTCGTGCGGGGTGGGGGCGGACGTTTGCACGGACACTGTTGAGCAACTTTTTTGACAGTCTCACGTTAAGGTGCCTCTCAAGTTTTGAAGTATTTGGTTTGGAATGCAAGGCAATGGTTGTTTGTTCCCTCTCGCCCTCAAGCCCCCTTCCAGCTCTCCGGTTTATGCGACGTTGTCACTGACGGAACAGTTCGATACTTGTACGCCGCAAACACGTTCAAAATCGATGCCCTACCTACCTATAAACCCGCCTCCTGCTCGCGCTGTTGTTTATTGCCTGGCACTGAGACTCACGCTCGCATACTCCGAATGCAATCGGCAGATGGTACAGGGGCTGCAAGAAGACATGCAAGGTGTGAAGACACAGCTCAAGAGGCGCCGCAGCAGCGGCGCCAACGAGGAAGTCGGCCGCGCCAGGCATCGTAGAGCGCGTCGGAGCTCGAAGGGCTCGCCGCCATCGTCGTCATCCCGAGCACGCCACGAGAAACGCGGCCGGTCGGCTTCCCCGCCCTCCGCTACCGACTCGGACCACAGCGACCACTCGTCCTCGGGCGGGTGGTTCAGCTCCGGCGACGAAGGGCGAAGGCGCGGCGGGGGCAAGGGGGGCGGCAACAGCAAGGGTTATCGGGATGCACACCACCACCATCGCAGATCCTCCGCACCGGCCAGGCGTAATCATGCCGCGGAGCAGGGGTACTACCCGTACGCCGCGCCCGCTGGCGCCTACCCTTACGCGGCGCCACCGCTACCGCCGGGATACTTCCACTACCCCAGAGGGCCTCCTCTTCAGGGCGGCGCGGTGCCGGGCTACCCATCTATGTACCCCGGGCTGGTCTACGGCCAAGGTCAAGGCCGGCCTGACGGCAGCGGAAGGGGCCCCGTCGAGTGGGAAGGAGGAGGAGGGCAGCACCGTTTCGAGCGGCACCGGCACCGGCGAAGCGAGTCGGAGCACAGCCAGCAGCGGGACCACCGCTTGTTGAGCGATGATGGGGCTAGGGGGAGGTCGGCCTCATCGCCGGTCAAGGACGACGAGGATGACGTCAACAACCCCAGAGCCGCTGCCACTGCCGGTCCGCGTGCTGCCGACCTTCCGGACCCCGCTGTTGCCGAGGAGCAAGCGGCAACAACAGCAGCAACAGCAGAGTCGTCCGAGAGATGCAAGGCGGGCGACGGCGGCGCCGAAAGCGACGGAGGAAGCAGGGCGGCGGCGGCGGCGGCGGCCGCCGGGCACCAGAAGAGCGCCTCGTCTCGCGCGCGCGGCGGGCGAGGGGGCGAGAGGCGTTCCCGACGCAAGGATGGCTCGGGGGACGGTGGGCGTGCCGCAGGAGGAGCCTCGCGCCGGCACGGCGACGGGAGCTATGGCCTGCACGAAGGCAGCGGCTACCGCGGCGCCGGTGGCGCCGCCGAGCAGCAGGGCGGCTTCGGGTACCCGTTGGGTGTCGCGCCGCCGGGCGGCCTCGTGGATCCGCGGTTTGCGCCTCCGGCGGCACCGATGGGTCGCGGAGGCTACCCGGCGGCCTCTTCTCCCTACATGATACCGCCGTCACACCCTCCTCGTGGCGTGTACCATGAGCACTACGGCGAGGCCACGGGCTGGGCGGCGGGCGGGGCCCACCACCCTTACCATGCCCCTGTTCACCCTCCGCCACCCCACCACAGACTCTACGAGGGAGGCAATGTGTCCCGCAGGCGCAGGACACGCTCGCCTGCGGCCGAGTCCGTCGAGGGAGAGAGGGAAGGCGGCGGGGGCGACGACAGTGGTGGCAGCGCTAGAGCGGAGCGGGGCAAGGGAAGTAGGAGCAGGAGCGGGAGCTGGGAAAGCGAGCACGGGGCGACATAGTCGACTAGCGGCCTGTTGAGGGTGCTTTTGGTTCTTTTGAGGAGCCCGTCGTGACATGCGTTGTGTGTTGCAAGACACGTGCGCGCCGGTTGGTGGAAGAGTGTGTGTGGGAGGGGAGACGGAAAGCGAGCCTGGTTTGCAGGGATTCACCTACTACCCATGCGACGAAGCGACAAGAGGGCGATAGATGACAACTGGTGTCCGTCGTGCGCGCTGCAAAAGGCACGATCAGGCAGATACGTCAAAGCCGTAGTGTTTGGAGTAAGTTGTAGTTGTGACAAGGTGCACTAGGACCAGCCGTTTTTTACCGCTCTCCGTGTCGATGAGCATCTACCTGCTCGTTTTCGAGCGGTCTTGTACCTCGTTGCTCGATTCCTGACGCAGATACAATACAACAGTAGAAAAGTCGGCATGAACGAAAAGAGTCCTTGATACCACCTCGGTTCTGTGAATTTTGCGGTCGACAGTTGTCGGGAATTTTTTTTCTGGGTCGTTTTGGGGTTCATACCGTAGAAGTGTTTGGTCCACACTGTGCTCGGGTAATTTTGTTGTTTGTTGTTTGTTTTTGTAGGCTCGGTGTATCGTGCTCTCGTTCGCGCCACTCGTCAAAGTGTACTCTCGTCCGAATCCTTTTTTCTACGAAGTGATCGGTAGATGGGAACGGATTTGTTCGCCTTTGACGTTGGGCAATGTTTTTTTTTTTCTCATGTATGTTGAGGGCGTACACCATCGCGGTCTGTGTCGCGGGAGGGTTTAGACTGAAAATCGGGGTTGACGGATCGGTGTGATTCCATCATACGTTTGTGTGTTGCTTGTGGTGATGTGCTTCAAGTCACGCATGTTGGTCGGCTCTCCCGTCGCCGGCAGGCGATTTCTCAAGCTGTCGGTAGCGACAGCGGCTTGAGCTCGCTCGCGAGGATTCTTGGTAATTGGCAAGTTGGACTTGATGGCGGTATTGACTGGTTTTAGATCTGGCGCCCGAGCTGGGGGTCTGGCGGGGGTGGTTCGATGTCTTGCGTACGTGTCTTGGTGGTGGGTTCTCTTCTTGAAAGTCTCGTCACCCAGCTTGAGCTCCAGTCGAAAAATTGTTGGTCGCGAAAGAAAGGTAGATTGAGTCTCACGTACAACAAGTGTTATTTACGCGGGAGACTTGCGTTTCTCGTTTTTTTCAGTTTTTTTGTCGCATGCGGATAGGTAGGTACGCGGGCACACGTTTCTTTTTTGTGCTGGTTTTGTCCGCTCTGACTGTGTTTCACATGGAAGGTTTTGCAACCACCCGTCGTGCTTGAGAGATCCGTCACAGGACACTCAACGACTTTTGCCTGATCGTGTCGATCAGGCCGCTTCTGCGACAAACAAATCGATTCCCCGGAAATGGTTCACCACAAGGCGTGTGACTGTAATTTTTGTTTCGCTTGCAGAGCGAACAGTGTGATGACGGCAGGCATTTTTTTCGACGCATGCTCTCGGCTGCACTTCCGTCAAGAGGATTGTTTACACATGTCACCCCATTGTGCTTTCGGCCGATCAATGCAGGTCATTCGCGTTTACCGGCTACTGGGTAAAGAACTCTCTTTTTTACACAAGAACTGCACACACACGTGGGTCGAATAATCAGTGCCAAGAGAGCGCCAAAATGTCGCCACGCGTTCTGTTACACTTGCTCCCGCCGCACCCACCTCTACTCAACCACTCCGCAATACTTGAGCGAAGGCCTTGTTCTGCACAATAATTCACGTGACCCCCAAAGTATACCGTGGCGCAGCAGTTATCACCCAAGCAACGAAGTATCGGTCAGCGTTTAGGAACTTGGTTCACTCGCCCGCGCATCGAAACACCGCATTAATATTGAACATGAAACAAGAGCACATCAATCAACTTCATTTACGCATTCGCACCATGTACACCGGAATATTTCAGCACCCGAAAGGAAGACCATCACTTGCCAACCCCTCGGGACACAACTCCTCCATGCTGTGATGTGATGCTCTCATTATTTACGGCTATATATAGGAAAGACCCGCTAAAGTACACCCTGACCAACACGACACATGGCACAGATTTACCGAGACGACAAGAGAGAAGGCAGACAAAGAAAACAGCATACCACACGTTACAAACGAGAACAGCAACATGCCTGACGTTACACCGGATGGTTGTGCGCTCTTTCCAAGGGACTCGCAAAAAAGGCTGAAAGCGAGCGATCCGACGACGATGAACACTCGACGACGACCCTCCTACGAGCCTCCTCACAAAACCATCCAACCCCGACACGGCCGCGCAGAGGAAACGCCGTTGGCTGCCATAAAAACGATACCTCCGTCAAGTACCACGATCTTACATGTGGGAACAAACACGGTTCTCCTTCTAATACGGGAGGAAATAAATGGTACTGTCGTTAAAGGCGTAGTGGTTGGCCTTCGTCATGTGCTCCTTGGGCAGTAAGAGAACGCGGCCCCCGAGCACATCATCGTCCAACTCTTCCTCTTCCTCCCCTTTCTCTCCGCCGGGAGCAACCAAGATCTTGGGACCGTCGCCACGCTTCATCGGGGTCACCGTCACCTTCACCTTCCCCCCCGCCTCCCGCCGAAACGAAACAACGCGTGCCACCGCCGGAGGAACGTCGGCGGCGGTTCCACCAGCCGCCGCCGCCCGCGACCCGCCCCCAGTCCCCGCGTCCGCCCCACCGCCGTTGCTGGACATCGCCGCTCTCTTGTCCTCACGGAGAAACACATAGTCCCCAGCGACGTACCTCTTGCCGCCCGACAGGTGCACGTAGAAGGGGTCTGCCTCACCCGATGTGCCTACGTCCCCTTTGGCTGCACCTCGACCGCCCTTGCCGCGCCTAGCCCGTTGACGACCCTTGCCCTTCTTGTCTCTGCTGCCGCCTCCACCGCCAGCGCCACTCCCACTCCCACCGCCACCGCCACCGCCACCGCCACCGCCACCGCCGCTACCGCCAAGTGGAAACCACGGACACGTTCCGGCGTTCGGGAGCAGCAGCCGGCCGTGGATAATGCACTGGGTGGCCCACTCCAGGCTCCCCGCGGGCGTGCCCATTACTTCGGCGGCCTCCTCCACCGCCGCCGTCGACGCCGAGGCCGAACCACCGTCGGCGCTCTTAGGACCGATCACGCAGAAAACCTGGCCATCCTTGACCAGCTTCAGGGCGCCCTCGAGGGTGCACTGGCCCGCCTCCGTCCCCGGGCTCGCCGCCCCGGCGTTCTTCCTATCGCCGCCGCCGCCGCCGCCGCCGCCGCCGCCCTCGTGCAGTACTATCGCGGTGGCGCCCGCAACGGTCAAGGAGAACACCCAGTTATCCACGGCGTTCTTCCCGCCGTCCAGCCCGTCCCCGCAAAAGATTATGTTCTTGCCCTGGAACGGCCGGCCTCGAGCCGACCCGACGGGAGGCATGAGCAACCCACGGTCTCCGAGCGCCGACCGTCCCAGCGGCAATATATACCCCAGAGGAGGGATGACGGTCGCCACGCTGGAGCACGCGCCCACCCAGGAGGGGTGCACGATGGGCATCCCCGCAGCCAGCGCGAGCTGGAACTTGTGGGTACGGTCGCTGTCCGGGGTAGCCACCGTTATCATCCGGCGCAGCGGGGGGGTGGGCTTGTCGCCGTTGGGCATGCCCCCCACTTCGGCTCCTATTTTAGGGTCCCTGCCGCCTGCCACGCTCTGCCTGACTTCCTCGAGTATCCAGCTTAGCCAGCCGTCATCGTCGGAAACCTTGCCGCCGGCGACCTTGACCACCTTCCCCCCCAGCTTCGTAACGCTGGCCTCGAGCTCGCTCCGCATTTCGCCCCGAAGGCCCGTGAGGACAACACCCAGCCCGGAGAAAGGGCCTACGTTGATCCGGCGACTCGACGACCGAACACCGGGGGTCGCAGTCAGCGATCGCTGTATTTTTTTTCTAGCAACGCTGCCGCCGCCGCCGCCGCTGCCGCCGCCTGGTGCGCTTGACGAAGAATTGGGAGGCGAGCGTGCGACCTTCCTCTTTGGGGTTCCGTTTGCCAAGCCTCCGGTGACTTCGCCGTTGCCATTGCTGGCTCCGCCGCCGCCGCCGCCGCCGCTACTGCTGCCACCGCTGGTCCTAGCAGAGCCATGTGCTGGTCTTGGGGCCGACCTGCTACCCTGCGGGCGCTTGCTGCCACTCTCACGCGCGCGCACCTCTTCCTGTCCCGTAATCGCGGCATCTCTCGGAGCCCCTGCGGATCCACCGCCCGTATCCCTACCACCCGCGGATACATCCGCCGTCGCCGGCGCACCAGCAGTTGCGGAACTCCCGCCGCCAGCCTTGCGACTTCCTACCTCTGCCATGTTGATCGCAGACGCTAGCTCAAACTGCGGTTGAGTCGGGGCATCGTCCATGTCATAGTCTCTGTCGCCGTCCGAATTGTCCTCACCTCCCATCTCTAGGCCCTGCTCGCTGCCCTCGCCGCCACCACGAGGCTTCCTGGACGACCGCTTCGCGACGCCGACCCTCCCCCGCTTCGTCGCAGGGCCAGGCGCCGCGTCGTCTCCTTCGGGGTTGGTAGGGGGGCGTCCTCGCCCGCGCTTGCTGCCTTCTTGTCCTCGGGGCGCGGTTTCACGGCTACCGGCTTGTTTCTGCCCAGCGGGTTTCCCAGCCGAAGACTTCTTTGCGGAGGGCGGAGACGGGACGCCTCTGCGCCCGCCCGCCCGGCCTGGCAGGCTCATGGCCTCGACTGGGGGCGCGTCCGGCGGTGTCATGTCCCCTGAATCCGTCCGCTGGACCTTTTGCCTCCGCACCCTGTGCAGCCCCAAGCTCCACTCGACGAAGGGCCCGTTGTCGTCCCTGCCATCGACGTCAGCTTTGCCCCCCCCGTTCTCGACCGGAGGCTCCGCGGCACCACCCACGGGGGGATCTGCTTGTTTAGGGACGGACTCGAGGACGTGCTCGAGGACAGACTGCCTGGAATAGAACATGTCGACGCCCAGCCTGCCGGTCTTCTTCGTGGCGCCAGACTTGAGGTAGACACACCCATCCACGACCCCGTTCCCGTACGCCCAGTGCCACCCATCTTCCTGGAGCTTCGGCCAGTCGTCCCGCCACTTCTGCACCCAATCCACCGCACCTTGCGACCGCCCTCGAGCAGCAGGCTTGTCGCAACCAGCGGGCTCGCCGCTCTTCTGTCCCCCGTCGCCGGTCTGGCCGCTTCCTTTCCTCCTGCCGTGACCGGCTCGCCGTTTCGTGGAAGCAGTTTGGGCGGCCTCCCCGGTGCCGGAGCCCGGCTTGGTTCCCGCAGCGTTCGGCGGCAGCTCCTGTGGCGCCGGCCCCTCGGCCGTCTGCCGCCCACCAGCTTGGGCACTCCCTCGCCCGTTGCCGCGGCTATTCCTTTGCATGGTGGCGGGACGGGCGGCGGGCGCGGCACCGCAGGGAGCACCAGCAGGCGAGGCAGCAGAGTCGACGTTGGCCTCCGCGCTCGAGCCCGCGATGCCCCCCCCCCCGTCGCTGCTCTTGCCGCGCCGAGGTCTAGCCTTGACGGGGCCGTCGGCACTCCGCCGCCCGCCACCACTACCAGTACCGCCGTCACCGGGGCAGCTATCGTCCACACGCTCAGCCGTCGCTCCAACGCTGCTTGTGGGCGGGGGTGCCTCTACTGCCGCTGCCGCTGCCGCTGCCGCTTTGGCCTCCGCCTTAAGAAACGCCTCGTAACGGGAGAGGGCCGGCTGGTCGCAGCGCACGTGCTGGACGACTTCCTCCTCGGAGACCAGGAAATCCAACCCGTACCTCCCGTTCCTCCCCTTCTTGCCGGGCAACAGATAAAACCACGTATGGAGACCCTTGCCGAGAACGCACTTCCAGCCCTCGACGTCAAGAAACGAAATCATGGCCTTGTACGTCAGCCACTCAGGGGACTTCACGCCGCCGTCAGCAGCCGCAACGAGACCTTTGTCACCCGCCGCCCCGATATTCGCTCGCCCGTCGACCTCAGACGACTTGTCCGCATCGGCACCTTCCCCTCTCCTTGCACGTTTCTCCCTATTCTTCATTTCCTCGTCTCCCTCTCCCACAACCTCTTTTTCATCCTTGTCCCCCTTGCCCACTGCCTTTGCCTCCTCTTCCCCTCCGTCTTGGTGCCCCCGCCCCCCCTCCTCTTCCTCTTGCTCCTCCTCCTCGTTCTCCTCCTCCTCCTCCTTCTCTTCATCCTCCGCCGAAACAGGGGTGGTGTCCTTCCGGATGGCCGCCATCGCTCTCTCCGTCCGAAGCTCCTGCGTGGTCATCACCACCTGGTCGTCGTCGTCGTCATCGTCGTCATCAGTATGCAAGTCCCGCACGTCGACACCGACAGACTCCTCCTCCTCCTCCTCCTCCTCCTCCTCCCTAACCTTCTCCTCGCAAGCCGCAGCAGCAACCCTCCGCGGGGGCCCTAGGTTGTCGGCGGGGTTCGGGGCCTTTGCCTTGTTCTTCCCCTTGCCGCGATTGGCGCCAGTGCTCTTCTTGGAGGCCCGGCGACGATCGGACTGCTGCGACATCGTGGGCCGACCGACCACTCCCCCACCGCCGTCACTACTTTCGTCGTCACTATTCATGTCGAAAATGTTTGGTTCCCGCTGGTTCGTGACCCCCAGAGACCTGCACAAGGAGGAGAGCCAAAGGAGACGTTTGGGAAACGCGGAACGGGGTGGAATGGTGGGGTCAGAAGCGAGATTTTTGAAGTACAAACTTCGACCGCTCCGGCTGCAAGCATGCTTTGGAATTCAGGAGGCATATAAGTACAGTTGTCGAAAACAGATACTGTTGTAGAAAAGAGGCAGGCAGTGCAGCGGCGCTTGAAATTGACTATCGAAGTGAGCTAAACTACAGCATTGAAACAATCCTTCCCGCACGGATCGCGAAAGTGACTTCGAGTATGTGAATCGGCGTACGTGTTATTGTAGCCGCAAAGTGTACAATACGAAGCCACGGGGTTCAAGACTTACGAGTAGGGCACACCGAAAAGTCATTCGCAGGCCCCCCAAAAAATCGAAAACGGTGGATCGACCAAGCTATGTACTTCACTGCTGATGATGTTTCGCAAAATCTCCCTTGACAAAACAAAAACCGCTTTGTCCTCACCTCGGCAACGCTCGCTTCTTCGAACTCGATAATGATGCCGAGGCGCCCATGTAGGCGCCAGGTGTGCGAGAACCGGAAGCTCCCTTTCGCCCCACAGCGCCGCCGCCGCTTCCGCCGCCTTCCCCCTCTGCAATTTGCGAGCTCACCCTCATCCGTTTGCGTTTGCCGGACGTGGATGCTCCACCGCCGTTGGATGCCGGAGGGAGCTCCTCCCCGCCGTCGCCTGTGCCCTGCTTCAGCTCCTCCCTACCCTGCCCGGTGGCCGCTGCGCCAGCTATCTCGTCGTCCAGCAAACGGTCGAACTCGTTCTTCTCCTGCGAGCAGCCCTTCCTGATCTGCGAAAAATCGTCGGCCTTGAATTCCTGCGAGTCTACCGTCGTTCCTCCGATGCCTGTCAAAAAAATATCTCCGTCCTCGTCTTCGTCATCCCCGTCATCATCCATCTCGGCGGTAGCACCGGCACGGGCAGCAGCGCCCACCACGCGACGCTCCTCCGGCACCCCGATAGCGAGAATGTTCTGCGATGCCGATCCTTCCCGAGCGTCGAGGGCGGCGGCGAGTCCGTTGTCATCGTCCTGCGAAGCGGAAGCCCTCGGCAGAGGCGCGTTTCCACCGACCTTGGTGCGTATCCAGCCGCCACGGCCAGCGATGGCCTTGGCCGGCGATGGCTTCTTGGGGGGCGCTTGCTTCACCGGGGCGGCGGCTGCAAGCGTCGAAGCACCAGCGCCCTTCCCCTTCGTTGCATGCTCACGCCGCACACTCTTCTTACTCTTCGGCGGTTTCGCTTGGGGCTCGCCTGTTGCTGATGCTGCTGGTGCACCAACGCTGAGCTCTTTGTCCAGCCAGCCTTCGGGCAGGGGATGCGGCGAAGACGACGACGACAAGGGGAGAGCGGCTCGGGCCCGGGCCGCCTTCGCCGACGGCTCCGCCGAGCTCAGGAAGCCGGAGCTCGTCCCTGCTTCGTTGTCTCCCGCCGCCGCCCCGTGCCCACCAGCAGCCCCCCCGCCGCCGCCGCCCGCCAGCAGCAGCACGCCGCTGCCACGGCCGGCTCTGCGCAGCGGGGAAGGCGTCCTACGCCGGTCCGCCGCACACGCCACCAAGGCACGACCGGCTGCTTGAGGGACTGGCGATACCGCCTGCTGCTTCGGCTGGGGGGCGGGATCGATTGTCAGCGCCGCTTCATCCTCTGCCATTGCTCCCAACGACGCGGGGTTGCGCGACATGGTATCCTCCAAATCCTGCTCCTGGTTGTCGAGGGCGGCGGTGGGTGGGGGGGCTGGGGCGTCGGGGCTATCAACCTGTGTCGGCTGCGTTGGCTCACATTGCTCGTTTTCCTCTCCTCCCGCACCCCCTCCGCCGCCAGCACCACCGCCCGCGGCACCACGTGATGCACTGGCTGACTCTTCTTCGAAAGCAACGTTCATGGCGCGCGCAGCCGCGTTGCTCTCGGCGGTTGCGCCACCAGCTGCGTCCAGGTCAGTGTCCTGCGCCGCGATTTGAGTGTCGCCTTGGTCGTCCTCAGACTCGTTTCCGCTGTCTCCGCCCTCCGTCACAGTGTCGTCATCATCCCCGTCATCACAAGTTTCTTGCTCTAGCTGAGTGCCCTCGCTTCTCCACTCCTCCTCCTCCTCCGCCATCGTGCGCGGATTTTGAAATGTGTGACATCATGTGCGCCGACCGATCGTTTGGGGGGGGCATTGTTGTACGACCCCCCCTCCCGCCCCGTACACTAATCTGCTCCTGGTCGCGTGCTCCCCCAATATGTACCGCTGTCCCTCTGCACGTGTCGCTGCCTCTCGCTCCTTGCCATCTCTCGTTTAGCTCTGGCTGGCTCTTGCTTTCAACGATGAGGTACTCAGGGGAAACACTCGCAGCTGGCGGGATGTTCCTGGCATTGATAGTGCAGGTGATGCTTGGCTTTGGTGTATTTTGTCCTCTTCTCGAAGACTGCCTGTTTTCGGTCTAAACATGGCGTTGTGCAGATGAGGTTGAGTCCGCCTCGTGCATGCTCCTCCCCAATCCTAAGCGTCGACCGAGTTGTCCGAGTACCGAGTACTCCTCAAGATGACAACGGCAGCACACCATCGACAAACCCCTTCGGGCTCCGCCACTGCTGCCGTTCCTCGTTTTGGCGGCCCATTTTATACCTGGAAACCGGGCTATTACTGCTGTAGTGCCAGTTGTGCCTGCCATACACAATGACCATGAGCAGACACCGCGGGAAGACCTGCTACACTGCTGTAGTCGTAGCGTTTGCGACACACCGCACCCATGTTTGTATGCATGTTTGCACCTCATGGCTCGTTACTGCAGCAGCTTTTCGCACGTGGCCCACCGAACGCCATGAGTCTGGTTCGTCTTGCATGTCGGAGTACAGCAGTAGCCCATACATATGAGGAAGGAGCGCATCATGACACAACGGTACGGTCGGTACACACTCGAAGAAAGAGAGCGAGAGATGCCCACAATGGTTGAATGTCTGTTTACTGCTTGCATCTGTTGCCGGTATACCACATGTTTTCATGTTTGCTGCCTGTATTCGCGTCGGCGGTGTGTGAAGTGGTTGGGAACAAATAACCACCACACCAATCTCACGCTCGCCCGTGCTGTTCGACACGTCGCCACTACAAAGAACACCGCTCGTTTGCGTGCATGTTCCACATCCACTCCAGCAGACGGCAGGGTTCCTGTGCCCGACTACGATCAACCCTCGCTCCAGCGCGGCGCATCGAGCTGTCGGGAGCGGCAGCACGAGTGCCTCGCCCGTCAGAAGGCAAAACGGCCGGGTGGAGCGGGAAGGGCAGAGGGGTGGTGGTGTCGTCGGCGGGGGGTCGAAGCACGTTCTCGGCGCACGACGACGAGACGACTTCTTCTACGACGCCGACGATGACGATCTGTTCGATGATGACCTTGACGACAGGCGAGCTGTCGCTCCGCAGAGGAGAAAGAGGCCCAAGGTGCCGCTCTTGCCCGCGACGCTCAGCAAGGTTAGTGGCTGTACATGGCGGTGCGTACAGCAGTAGAGATCCCTGTTGAGCGCCTGAGCGTCGGTTGAATAGTGCCGTTGCAACGGCATGGTGCCGGTGTTTTCGGCGGGCACACGCTTAGTTTCCAAGTCATTATCAATACTTTGAATAGCGCCGGCCCGGAATTGTACCGCTGAATTTTCTGGGCATATACCGACACTAAACAGGGACCTCTACTGTACAAGTGTGCCGATGTCGCCCAAATAGTCTGGATCGAAAGGGGCTTTGTGGTGGTTGGGGTTGAAAGTGCTCTGCGTGCGGTTGGAGTGTTTTCCTTTTGGATGGTGGAAGCTTGGTATCTTGTCGCCAGTGTATACACCAATGTTTTTTGTCCGCAAATTGTTTCGGCGAGTGGGCGGCAACGCTGCCATCGTCTCGTGCCGACGGCCTTGTGCATTGGTCAGTTGTTGATCACCCTTGTTTCGAACTAAACAGCACAGTATGGCAAAGCTGTACTCATATTTTATGGACATTCGCCGCCAAGCCGATCAACTTACCTGTTTGTCCCCTGTACAACAATCGCACACGCTTCGTTGAACTTTTCCTACGCTCCTGGGATCTATGCGCACCGAGAAACATGACTCATGCCTCTCCGTTGCGATTCACTCCGTTCAGGCTCTTATAGCGGGCGTTTTTGTTCTGGGCATCGGCACTGGGGTGACGGTAGACTCGGCAATCAACACCGACCCCAGGGATCTGGCGAGCCGCGACGCCATCGACCGCAACGCGCCCAACCCCAACATCTGTCAGACCTACGGGTCTAGTGCCATGGTGGTGGACCAGCGCGTGTTTGTGACCTTCAACCCGTTCAGCTTGCACGTCTCGCAGGTATGGGTGGTATGATACTTGTCCACGGTTGAGGGTACGCTTGAACTGCTTTCGCTCGTGGCATGGCCATGGTAAGGAACGTGTACTTGATCCCCATTCTGACTGTGTCTTCTTGGTGAGGCTAACAAACCGGTACCGTGGAAATCATTCCGCGTCCCCCCCCTGTACGATCCAGGCTCTAATGGTCTGCCTATCTGCTATGCGAAGTCTTTGCTGCGGTATACCGTGAGATGGGCGGGCAGAGGAAAAAATGTCGCACGACGCTTATTGCTACCCCGGATTTTTGCACCTTTCTCGACAAGGGCCGTCACCGCTTGCGCTAGAGATGAAGGACATTTTCGTGATTGGGGCATGTATGTATATGGCAACTCGTTTTACGCCCCCCGTCTCCTACCGCGTACCCTCTGTGTACCCATCTGCTCGCAGGCGGACACCAAGCCGGGTTGCGTGCTGCGATCGTCCAACGTGGTGGAGGTTCTGCAGCGGAAGCGAGGGCTGCTGACCAACGAGGACGTAGAGACGTGCAAGGGGGGCATGAACACGTGGGGCTACGTGGGAGACCTGAACGACCACCCGCAGCTGTCCTGCGTATACCAGAGCGACGACGCGCAGAACGAGTTCCTCTCCAATCCTAAGGTACGGCATCATTTTTTTCATGGGAATCTAGCTTGGGGTCTAACGCTGAAACTCTTATGCAGTGAAGGGAAGCCAACAGAACGAAGCTTTGGGCCTAGGCCTAAAGCTGAACCTCTTCTGCAGCGAAGGAAGCCACCAGAGGGTAGACAATTTCATTGTCCGCATCCGCTCTGAAAGGTTGGTCGTTGATTGCTAAACCCCGACTTCGCCCTCACTCGCGAAATCGCTGCCGACCGCCCCTGTTTTTGTTTTTTGTCGCCCCCAGTACGGATTGGGCGAGGACGTGTACGACGATGACCGGGCAGCCGCGGCAAAGAAGAGCGCCGGGAGCGAGCCCGCGAACGGCCCCCGCGTCATGTCCGGGACTGTGCAGACCGTGGTGACGGACAGGGCAAAAATGTAGTGTATTATAGTTGATGGTTTACCTTCCAATCACGAAATTCGTGCAATGGTAGTAGAGGTGTTTCAGTATTTTTTTTGGGGGGGGGTCGAGTCGCTTGTGCTTGGATTCCTGAGGCCGTAGCAATGCGGGGTTGCACAACCGGTACTGGAGGGAGTGATGAGGTCCTAGCTGTTGCCAAGGCGTTGGTGACACGTGCTGATGCTGTACAGTAGCAGTAGGTGTGTCCATGCTTGTTGCTGTCTTGGAGGCTTTGCCAATGGCTGCGTTTCGCCCTGGGGAAGATTTTTTTTCGGTCGTTGACATTTGTCTAGACACCCAACGAGCAGCAGCGGCACCCTGTATGTACTCCGATGGCATATTGCGTAGCTCCAAGTTAAAGTCACTGCTGTGAAATAATTCACTCTTTGCAGACGACTTGTACCTACCTGTTACGAATTATGTTTTGGTCCTGCCCTGTATGTCAGCACGGCGGTCGCAACTGCGTCGTTCGTTCACGCTGTGCACGATGGCGGCGAAGCGCAGCCAACGATGCAGCTTGCTTGCGGGTGTCGAAACTGGAACTGTTTCCTCTCTTTGCTGTTTTCGTATATTGCGGTCCGTACAATCGGACATGGGTACCGCACGGTAGAACGACCAACCTGTTTCGAGTGGTCGCACCTGCGGCCCTGGTTTGCCCCGCCCCTCCCCAGCGACAATGATCTCCGGAAAACGACACTCCGCAGCAGTCGAAGTGAGATCGGCTTGCCGAACAGCACTAGGCTTGTGATCGTAGTTTTTTGCACGCAATATCCGAAAAACAGGAACACAAGGACGGCTGGGTGGATAGTAAATAGTGGGATATGGCATGTACGACGCATCAGCGAGAGACTCTTCCTGCGCTTCAGGTCAACCTGTCTACCTTGACTAAACTATAATGCACGAACACAATACTTTAGTCTCGCGGTTAGGGCCTCAAATAATTCGCAACACCGATGAAATTGAAGTCACAACACGGCCAATGACAACAACGACACGTTCGCGCAGAAACGCTCCAAACGTTTCAAACGAGAGAAGCACTATCTCGAGCAGCGCTGCCTTGACGTACGAAAAAAACCATACAGGGATACACATGGGCGCTGCTTGACGTACGAAAAAAACCATACAGGGATACACATGGGCGAGCGCTTGACACGGCGCACTCGGTACAGACGACGGCAGGGGAGAACGTTCGCGCGAAGGTCCCGTGCCGCTGAAAAGGGAGATCGTGCTGGCCTCGGCTCATCAATGCTGTGAAGTTCCAAAACGGACAATCGGGGAGAATACATGACTTCAATCCATCCCTTGCCAATCCATCACGTGACGACCCTCGGTTTCCGTCGGAATTTCGTTCGAAGAGATAACGAAGTTCGTCAGGCGGTCCTTCAACCACTGCACAACCCTGCCCATCCCACCCCTGTGCTCGTACAAGTTGGCCATGGCAGCCGCTCGTCCCCCACGCCCAACCAAGCCGTCTCCTTCGAAGGCGGAGGCGGCCGTCGGGAAACGGCCGCTGTCCTGTCCCGAGAACTTCCCGGGTTTCCGCTCGTCGGCGTTTTTGCCGTTCTTGTTGCCGAACCCACGGTTGCCCCTGTCCTTGCCTGGCACGTTTCGCCCGCTGACCTTTCCCCCAGCGGCGGCCTCCCTGCCCTTCGCGAAAGTCGCCGCCGTCGCGGCCGGCAGGCGGGAAGAAGGCAGACGGATGTCGATGCCTCCGGCCTTTCCCTGCTGCTGCTTCTCCGCTTTCCTTGCTGCGGGTACCTCCGGGCAATCAGGACAGATGGCGCTGGCCGCATCGACTTCGATGAACCTGGAAGAAACGTCAAGCAAGAGGTATCGACGCGCAGGGGTCATGCACAGATCGAGGTCGGTCGTAGCTTGACCATCCGCATCCCCGAAAGATGTGGTCTCGGGGGGGTAGGGGGGGGTGTACTCATAGTCGTGCATGCCGTAGTCGTTAGACCATTGACCTCGCGTCTCGGGGGGGTAGGGGGGAGAAAAATGGGTAGGAAGCTCGCAAGGGGCATCATTGGGTGGTAAGGCGGAGCGGAAGAAACGCAGATATCACAAACTTGAGGTCGTGTTTCTCAAAAATAACACCAGCAACCCAATGCAGAAGGTATTCAACCCCGGTGCCATGGTTCCCTCTCCCCCCAAAACCAAACAAAATGACGGGGGCCTAGATAAAAAAAGAGGGGTACGATGAGCTGGAACTTTATCCTCACCCGGGCATCACGTACGGTGATATTGCCTGCTGCAAGGCCATCCGGGCCCACTCGTCTACAGCGGCAGGCACGGTTCCGAGACTCAAGGCGTCGAGCCCCCACTGTTCCAGCTTTATCTGGACATCTGGAGGGTCGTCAAACGCGATGAGCGCCTGCTCAGGAGCGCCGGGGGAAGCGGCATGAGCGGAGAGGGGGAAACGGTTTATTTCATTCCACAGCTACAGCAGTAGCACTCTGTGAAGGGTCGTGAATCCAAGACCTCGCACGGGCCTGTAAGCTGAAGGATGGCACGTTATGCGGCTCTGTAATCTTTGATAATTGCTTGAACAGCAGGTCGAGCAGCAGCAGGAGCAGCCAAGCACCACCCACCGCGTTAAAAGTCTAAGCCTAGGACCTAGCTCCCACTCTTGCCACCTGGTCTACAGCGAACGTGGAGGGGGGGAGGAGTGGAAAGACGCCCACCTTTTCTCTCCAGCAACCTGGCAGAAATCAGCCCCGTGTGCCCTAACCAGTGCACCCACAAACTTGACCGCGCTGCAAACCCTTCGGAAACAAACGCCGGGTGTTCGTGGGCTCCTTTCGCCCTCTCACACTTTCACTCTCACCGTTTTCACGAAAGGGAACTCGGGTCGCAACTCCGCCCGAACCGACATGCTCCCGCGGAAAAACAGCTCCAGCAACCTGACCGTCCCCGTCGGTAGCAACGCCTTCTCCAGGCTGGAAACCTTCACTCTCACGCCCACGCGGAGGTCCGGCGCAGCAACTTCCAGGTCCACCCTGAACGACAAGCATTCGCCTTCGTGGTTGCATCGACCGTCTCCCCACCCAGGCGACGCCGACGAGGTCGGGTCGAGCATCTGTCCAGGCGAAGAGGGGACGTGTCGGGGTCAAACTTGGCAAGGCGTAGTGATTGCGGCGGAGGCGCGCGCGCGGGGGGGGGGGGGAGGGGGGGGGTGCACTCCATCGTTGTGAAGGGCCGCCGTTCGTTTGAGGCACGCTGAGGAAGAACGGCACTCGCATTCTATGTGGAGCGTATTTTGCTAGCCATATCCCCTTGTCCGCCTATGGTGGCCGCCATCCATCCTGTTGGATAGCGATCTTCTTCTCCACTGCCACTCGTCTACATGTAGTACCCCAAAATCCATCTGCATACGTCGCTCCCGAAATATTTCTGTCATCTCTTTCTCCAAGACATTAGCCCTTCCCCCTTGTATGTTTAGCGTTATCCAGCTTTGTGATTGTCGTTCTCCTCTACCTTGCCATGCAATGGTAAGCGCCCCCTTCGAAGCGGGGAAGGGAGGAAGACAAACGGCCTGAGTAACGCCCGTAGACCCGAACAGAGGACCAATTTGTTCACACCCGACGTTTCTTGGCGGCAAGCGATCTCGTCGCGGGACAAAAGAAACGGTGTGGTTGGGGGTAAGGAGGAGGAGGAGGAGGAGGATCCCGACTAAGACTAAGTGATCCCTACCGTAATCCCCAGGATCTGTGGAGCGGAGGAGCCGAGCTCGACGTCTAGAAGCTCGACCCCAACAACGCTTGTGGGCTTCATTTCTTCCAGCACTTCTAGGAACCCCTCCGTCAAGTGCCTGTCAAAAGAGGGTGTTTGCAGCGCGGTGCAACGTTGTATGAAAATTAGCAATCGCTCGGGATCGGCACAGACAGGCAGGTTACGGAAAGCAGTAAAAATTCACCCGGTCTTACAATAGTTGCAGGTCCTCAACCGCACGTGGACATTCTGCCTCGCCAACAGGAACAGCGTTCACCAAAGTACCTACGCGTGCTTCCCCAACATGTCACCGCATCGTGTGGCGTGCCCGACGAGGCAACGGTTGCTCGTCACTCACTCAGCGACGAAAGAGCTCAGTCCATCCGCGGCAAGCATGCCGGTGACGACACAGCCGTGTACATCGCGGCCACCGGCGATACCGTTGACGCCGGCAAATCCTGTCGGCACCACCCGCTTCGTGCCCCCCCAAGCGCTGGCGAGGATATGGTTAAGCCACGCCGTCGTTTCGGCTTCCGCGGCGGGATCGAGAGCCCGCGACGCCTGGCCTCGACGGTAACCCTCGTCCCATGCCAACCACGCCGCTCTGTCGCGCTCTCTCTCCTAAAGGGGGCGTCGTTTTTTTTCGTCAAGAAACAACAACACAGGTGGCGGCAGTGAGGACACCTAGATCAGTCTACTAGTCTACATCTCCAGGGTGGTGACAATACACGGACCCACAGCATCTGGGGTCTAGAACTCTCGTACGCACCATAGAAATTTCCAGGACAAGGAGCGTTGATCGAAGGCGTTCCGCTGGCTTCACCAATACAAGTGAAAACCGACAGCGATTAACGGGGCTTTGTGGAAACAGAACCCCCGATGGATGCCCATTGCAGTATCAGGGCTCAACCTTAGTCGCATTGGGAAGGTCATTGAGTGGGACCTCCGACTAGAAAATCTCGCCATCATACACGGGGTATTACCTCAAGCACCGAAGCCACCAACCACAGCGCGAGAAGCCACAGCATGTACCGACGGCCACCACCACCACCACCACCACCACAACCACCGGCGCTTCGTGGTTCGCGACATGTCGTCCACCCCCGTACCCGCCACCCCCACCCCCACCACCATCCCCACCCCCACCCCCACCGCGCAGACGACGTAGTCCCTCCCTCAACACCACGTCCCGACGCTGCCGCGATCGGCACCGATCTCTCCCCCTCAACCTCGCCCTCCCCACCGCCACGCCGCCGCGTCAGCCCCGGCATCAAGGACCGTCTTGCTTGCCCTGTTCGCGCCAGGGCGGCCCGTGCCTGTGCGGGGGACGGCAGCGACGGATCAACCCCGTCCGGTTGCGGGACGACCTCGTACGTCCTCCTCGTCCAAGGCGAGCCAGGCGCTCGCAACGGGGGCGTGCCCGCCGCCTGGCGCAGCCTCGAAAACAGAGAGCGGGAGGGCGAGTGCAGGCTGGCCGCCAGGTCAAACGCCACCGCAGTGGAGGGCGGCCCTCGGTTCCCGTCGCCCCTTTCGCGCAAGTCTCGCCGCGCCACGGAGCTGCGCTGGGGCTCTCGCGGGGACGGCGGCGGCGGTGGTGGCGGCGGCGGCGGTTGGTGGCGTCCTCGCTGTCGTCGTCGTCGATCGTAGATAAAAACCGTCAGGAGAATCAACGCCGCGATACGGGGAGCGGGGGGCAGGGCCCCGTTCTTTAGGCGGAAGAGGCCCGCCGCCTGCCGGACCAAGGCCTCAACTGCCAGGCGCCCGAGGTCACGAACGCCTTCCCACGCCTCGAGAACGCTCAGCCCGTCGGAGACCAAGGCTGGGTCCGGCGTGAAGCCGTCCTTTTCGGCGGCGTGAGGGGCTGGTTCGGGCGTGCGGACGCCTACGGGTGGTGTTGCTGGTGGTGGCCGCTTCCCAGGTCCTGGTGCGTCCACGTTTTTCCTAACGTCGTGGTGGCCACCCTGGCCTCTCCGGTTGTTCAGCTTGACCATGTCATCCCTGGCCCAACCAACGAACCTCTGCACGACTCTAACGGTGTCCTCTGCATTTCGTGCACGAGTCGAGGTTCGGACGGGTGGGGGGAAGGGTTAGAGAAATCGCGGTGAGAGAGAGTGAGAAGCCAGAGTTTGCTTCTCACGAAACAACACATAATACTCCCTTCGATGTTGGATAGTCTCCGCGCAACACGATCGATACGTGGTTTTTCATCATCGCGAGGCGCGGCTACCCAAGCTCACCCGCCACCTGGCCCGTGCCCCCAGCCAGCCCTTCCGCCAGCACACCCGCCTGAAACACTGCGTCCCCAACCCCTCCAACGGCGGCGCTGAGGAGCTTCAGGGACCCGGCCAGAGAGGTGAGGGCTACGCTGCCGATTCGATCGAACGGGTCGGGGTCACCACCTTGGCTGCTGGACCTCCCTGTTTGACCCGTTGCCCCCGGCGCGGTATCCTCGCCAGAGTCGTCAGGAGAAGCCGAGGAACTACCGGCAGCTGGCCCACCACCGGCGTCGTGGCTTCTGGCGGGGTCAGCTGACAGCGTGGGTGGTTGCGCGTTCGCCGGGCTGACGTGCGCCTTCACCCCGCGACTGGCCGCATCAAGTATGGACGAAAGGCCCTGTTCGACCGACACACGAGCCGGGAGCCAGTGGGGCACAGACATGTCAAGGTAGATGGACTTTGTCAGGGTAAGCTAGGGAAACAATATGCTGCTGTGTGGCTAACATACGGACCGCGCAGCTGTAGAAGCCTGTTTCGTGCTTGGCGACCTGGCGTCGCCACGCCAGACACACATAGGTCGAACGACGTGGGGTAGCTCGCACACGTGATGAAAACCCCAAACAGTCTTTATACACCGGTCAAGTTCCAGACGAGAGCTTGGGGGGGGCAATGCTTTCCACTCTTTCGAGCTACACAAGAAGTAGCAAAGCACCTGCAGCGATGCACCGGTGGTGGTGGGGATGGTGTTTATCCCCCGAAGAGGGATTCTCTCACATTTACGGGTGCGCTCAGAAGCTTGAAGGTTCCCCCAGAGAGCCCGCCGGCCGTGTCTCCAATAACGCGCATGAGATCGCCCGCGTCGCGAACCCTATCATGCACCAGCCCCAACACCTCCGCCGCAAACACAACATCTTCATCCAGCTCCTCTTTCCCGGCGCCTCTTCTTCGTTTTCTCCGGCTGTTCTCCTGCTTCTGCCGCGCAGGCGGGGGTGCGTGTGGTACGTATCATCAGGAGTAAGAAATCGAAATAGACCACAGGTTGTGGGGTACAGCACACAACATGACAGCTTTGTATGTTGTACACAGAGCAGCGGGCCAGCTGATCACCCTGGCATTTGTTGTAACTTCGACAACGTCCTACTGGCCATGTCGAACCGATCTCGCCGAAAGTTCAAATTTCTTCATCATGTTGTCAGGGTACATATAAAAAGCGATTGCTCGTGAGTGCATTTGGGGGAAGCAACTCCTGTTAAGCCCTTCTCCCATGGCGGCATGAAGGCATGCGCCGAAGAGAAACTCTGCTGCTTGATCCTAGATCAGCGCTCTTCATCATATGTGGAAAGGATCGGCGTGTACATAGACTACATGTGTAGGTAACATCTCCACCGCGGAGCTGCGATTTCATTTTTGTCGGCAAGATTTGAAAATTGGAGGCCGTTCGTCGAGCCATCTGCTGCACATGTAGGCTAGTACACGTACCGTTTGCGAGGCCGTGAGGCAGGACGCTTATCAGCACCTGAAGATATTCCGAGACTGCTGCCATGACATTGCGCGACGCGAGAGACGCCGGGCTGCTCCTCAAGACTACTGCTGTACCACTCAAGACGCCATTGTGCCGACTGCTGTGGAACACACGTGTGATCATCCCGCCGCACCAGGAGCGAACGACACGGCACACGACATCAAACGACGTGCGACAGCTTATCCCCCTTTCACGAACCCATGTCAAGGCTGTCACATCCCAACGACACGAGTCAGAGGCCAGGCGGTCAGCTGAAACTGCCGATCGCGTGGGTTCAACCGTTCAACCGCCGCAAACGCAGGGCCAGGTTCAACACAAGATCGGGTGGCAGCATTTTGTATTTCGAGGGCGTCTCGCTCTGCTTCCCTGTCTCACCGTTTCTTCCTGTCTGGCGCGCCCATGGGCCGGCGGAATGGAAGACATTTGAAGCAGTCCTATCAGTATCACAGCGGTCCATCTACGAAGTCTTGTCATGGCCACAGCAATGATGTATGCTGGCACTACGCCGGTGTCTGCTTGCTGCGTTTACCGCTGTACCCTAGAAAGTCCAAACGTCCAAAGGGGGTACATACCCTTTGCAAATCCCGCCGCACCCATCTCCCGCTCGCCCTGCGCCCTGCCGCTCTCGCATTCCGTTTCGCTAGCCGCCAACTCAGCGCCTAGCTGGCACCCCGAATCAAGGTAAGCTCCTTGAATGAAGAGAAGCAGTGTTTGGAGATCGTTTTGGTCGAGGTACGTTGTGCTGTCAGAGTGTTTGGAACGAATAGCCCACCGCGTAGATGATCTCAGGTTGTTTCCCTTCTGTTTGGGGGTGTCTTGTCAGCTCGGCAGGCACAGGCCAGGTACAGAGAGAGCACAGCACGGCTGCTGTCTTGTAGTTTGATCCCGTACATGTAGGTGATAAGGCGTGGCAACACTCGAACTCGCACGAGCAAGGTAACGGCTTGAAAATGCGAAGTCGGGCCGTGGCCTCATGACGCCGTCGCACCTGAAGAAGTAAGAGCAAACTCCGTTTCTTGTTGCGCACGTGACGAGTCGCTCCGTCACACAGATTTTTGGCGTGTGCGCTCTGTACCGCGGGTGTTTCGTCCACAGCCTCGCTTGTTCTTTGGGCGCACCGTTGCCGCCATTTACCTCCCCAACAAATGCTGCTATATATGGCAACTGTAGCTGCCACTAGCATCAGCCAGCAAGCCCACGGCGACACGCGCACCTCGATGTAGTTCCCCGCTCCGGTTGCCGGTTACCACGTTTCGTACTGGACCAGCAGACAATGAGGCGCGGCGGGTTGGCTACCTGTTTGTTTTCGCAACAAATGGCGAACTATCACTTCATAGACTGCTGTAGACTGGTATTCATACTTTTGACAACATCTAAGAAGATTTTACCCCTCTGGAGATCTAAGGCGCTCTCTTTTCCAGCTACATATTCCCCCCCGCCAACACACACGGGCCTTTAATTCTGAGGTATATATACAGCAGTGAAGCTATCCGAACTCCGCCGGAATGTTTTTGGAGTGCTCCCGAAGAACCAGGGAGTAGGAAGTATATCGTGCTCGTATACTGGATGTGGCAGTACTCCACCCCTCGGATGTAAGGGTCGTCGCGTACACATGATTTGGATGTGGGGTCGTGCACGCACTTCCCAGCTGCGTCTGAAAATCCAGAAAAACGAATGCCTCGTTCTGTTGAAACCCGGACGGCACGCATCTCCCCCGATCTACGCTGTTGCCGATAAACCTTTACGTACGCAGCGGGCGAGTTGGACGATGATTACCAACACCACGGGCAGCGCCGGGCGTTGGGCTGGCTACACCGCGGCGGCCGCGGCGTTGGCCTTGGCCTCGTCGGTCGCCCTCACAGCGGCAGCGGGGACTGCATCAGCATCGTCGATCTCCGTCTCGGACAGTCCGGGCGCGACGATGATGGCAGGTGCCACCAGCAGCCCCGAATTAGTGAAAGAGTTCAACGCTTGGATCAACAGCTTTTTGTTCTCGGAGGGCACCATTAAGACGGCGCGGGATGCCATGGGGGCCAAGGCGGCCCACTACTTCCTCACGTACGTCCGCAACTTCCTCGGGGGGTCGATTCTCTACTACATCACGGCGGCAATGTGGCATTGGTGAGCTCAGCACAGCAGTGCAGCACGCTCGAATTGATCCTTAGAGACTGAGTTTATTTCGCCTTTTTTTTGCGTAGACTACCGCGACGATGTCGGCAAGCGCCCTTGCTGAGCTTTGCGGATGCATTTGTTCTTCAGGTCCCTCACGTGGTATTCATTTGACGTATGTTTAAGAAGTGCGGGACCGCTCAGAGGCCTACCTGGCGTAGATGCATTTATCGGTACCCGTAGTTGCCACTCTTGCGAGGCGCGCTCCCAACGGATGGATTTCCGTGTACATGAGAATGTCCACTTTTTTCTCGCGGTTTAAACCCGTGGGTAATCGCCGTATCAACGAAACCTTGACACGGAATGTCGTTGTGGTTCCTTGATCGCCACAACCCATCCTCGTCCTCTGCCCGTCCGTTGTTTAACACGCTCCGCAGCGTTTCAATATTTTTTTAGTAGTGGGCGTGGTTAATCGCCCAAGGGCGTGTATCGTTTTTCCCTCCCTTTGCAGGCGTGTGCGCCACAGAACCTGCCTTCGGATCAGTTTCCACCAACCCCTGGCTTGATGTTTTTTGTACATTCTTGTTTTTTTTCGCTCATGAAGGGTGATCTACGTCAAGATGGGACGCACGCTGTTCCCGAAAGGTATGCCAGCGCCGGCGGTGATCTGGGACCAGATCCAGCTGGCCCAGCTGAGCACGACGGTATACGCGATGCTGCCGGTTTTGGGGGAGTTTTTCATCGAGGAAGGATATACGAGGTATTGAAAAGAAAACAGGGTGGTGTAGTCGCTAGTGGCTAAAAGCGTGCCGCAATAGTATTGTGGAGAAGCTTCTTTAAGTTCCGAACAGCTCGACGTGTTCGTGAGGTTTCCGAGGCTGATAATCGTAGGAAAGTGCTTCTGCTACGCTGGAATTGAAGGCCATGAACCAACTAAATGGGAAGCCGAGTTCTGCTCAAACCTGATGTTTACCAAGATAGGAGACTCTTTGAAAGTCGGCAGGCTGCACCTTCCCCGGCAAAAGCTCTTGTGGTGGTCAAACTCTCATGTCGATTTTTGTGCCGTGGTGGTGGTGGTGCAGGTGCTACTTCCACTTTTCGGACGTCGGCGGGCTGATCGGATACGTGCTGTACACAGTGGTCTACCTGACCTTCGTTGAAATCGGGGTGGGTGTCATCACAAGCTCTCGTGGTTGCTGGTTGAAGCTGTCGGTGTTGGCATGCCTTTTGGAAGTCAACAGGTGTTCAAGACAAGGCGTGGATTTTTGCCTCTACTTGTAGGGGTGTTCAATTTCAAGCATTGCGACTGTTTCACGTTTTACATGATGACGTGTTCGCGCCGGGTAAGAATATTTGCTGGTGACTTTGGAACTTGAAGTGCTGCCGGTGCGCTACGTAGTAGCTGTTCTTTTAATCAATCTCGCCAACGCTTCCACGAGGCTGGAAATGTGGTGCCTCAGGCCTATAGTTTATGCTTAATCGGAAACGTGCTATTTTATCTCCACATCTGGACGTGCAACGTGTTTGTGTTGAGTGTACCCCACAAGCAGGACCGCGTTGCTTTTGCATTTATCCCGAATGAACGAACGCACGCACGAACTACTCTTCCACGGGCTCCCCGCAGATCTACTGGATGCACCGCACGCTTCACACGAACAAATTCCTGTACAAGTACGTGCACGCGCTTCACCACAAGTACAACTCCCCCGAAACCTTGTCTCCATGGGCGTCGATCGCCTTCAACCCTCTGGATGGGGTCCTCCAGGTGAGATGGCGGTTTTTTGTTTTGAAACTGTACACTATGAGATAGCAATTAATGAAAATATGCGCACTTTGTGTGGGCACTTGCTTTGGTTTTGTGGCAGGCCAAGCGGCGTAGCTACAGTAGTCTGCTTGTCTGCGCGAAAGCATTTCTGTTTGGCTTTTTGATCCGGCCCCATGTTTTATTTCCTTTCGTGTTTTATGCCCCTGCTTTTCGGTGCTCGGTATTCTGTGTGGGTATGGTGAAATATTCGAGTCTCCTCTTTCGCTACTGTATCGTGTCTGACTAATTGCGGCGAGAACCAGGGGACTAGGTGTAGGGAAGAGGTGTAGAATTCGTCGCACGATACGTTTAATACCACCTCAAGAGGGCGAATACAATAGGCAAGACGAAACGCCTCACAGAATTGTGCACCAGTTGTTGACACACCGCCGCGGAAGCCATTTAGTTTGTCTCAAGCGGCATCTCGTTCACCGACAAGGTCGTCGACACTCGGGGCTGTTTGTTGTCTCTCGGGTTCTGTCCCGCACCACACAACAACGGTAGTGTTCCGTGTTCGGGGCTCCTTGTGTTGCGCGCGCCTCTTGCCCGGTTTCAACGATCGCAGACACTTTTCTGACTCACGCTGGAGTCTTCTTCCCTCCCTCGCTCGCTTTCTGTCTTTCGCCTCTCCCTGCCCCGCAAACACTCAAACGATGTGGCACAGGCCTGCCCGTACGTGATCTGCTTGTTCTTTATCCCGTGTCACTACTACACGCACATGGCCATGTTCATGTTCACGGCAATCTGGGCTACGAACATCCACGACGCTGTGCCGGGCAATTCGGAGCCCATCATGGGCGCCAAGTACCACACGGTGAGACTCTATGGGAGAGAAGAGAGAACAAAGAGAGAGAGAGAGAGAGAGAGGGAGAGAGAGTTTATCCACAATCTCTTGAGTTTGTGTCTCGGATGCCAACAGGATCAGTGCCCACAGGCAAGCAAGCGTATCGCGTAAACGTGCCGTCTCCGCGTGCTCCAGGAAACGAAAATGCAAAAGCGCACCCCACCGCTTCGGCACACACCCTCGCCTCCCTTCTCGTAAAACCTGGGAACAGGTGCACCACACGCACTACCACGTTAACTTCGGGCAGTTCTTCACCTTCTGCGATCAGTACTGGGGTACCCTCAAGCGTCCGCAGGACATGCGAGGCTATAGCCAAGAGCCATCGACGGACGCTGCGAAGAAGGCTTCTTGATACATTCGAGGCGTGCCGATTTTGATGGGAGGCTGGGCCCAGGGATGGGGGCGTTAAAACTCTTTCGGCGGCGTGATTGTCGTATCACAGTACTTTCTTTCTTCCCGCCGTTCATTTGTTTGGTGTTGCGTGGATCAACCGGAGGATGTTTTGAGTGGGGGGAAGTGTGGCGCACGCACCATACCGAGGCGTGCTGTCGATGCGTCCGTTCGCCCTTCTGGTACACTCAGCGACGCCAAGGTCTGACGAACGCATGTAGAGGCGAGAAAATGCATATCGCAAACCCGTTTGTGCACTGCGTATATAATCGGATTGGTTGTTTGTTTTACCTTTTCCAAAGCTGCCACGGGGCTGCTTGGTGTTTTAGGTCGAACTTTCCTGATCTTTGCTGATTTCCAGGACGAAGGGTACATGCTCTCCGTTCAGTTAGCTTTAGAGTTTTGCACGCCGGTGTTGTTTGCTTGGGTATCTTGTTTGTTGCGTACTACGGTGCACAGAGGTTTGTGTAAAAGGGGCTGGTATGTGTTTTGTGTCTCGAGCGTTTGTGCTACATCACGCAACGCTCGTGTGTTTGCAATGCGTGGTCTCTTCAATTGTAATGTTGCTTTTTATGTCTTTAACGCCGCGGTGCGTTTGGCGGTGAACCTACAAACTCTTGTCCTCCCCCGCCTTGGCCAAAGCGTTCGTTGTGGGGTTGGACTACGATATTCCTACCTTGGGACTAATCATGGGAGTCACGACAACAAACTGCGGGAAATACGGTGTTTTTCGTTCATATAGGAGCCTCGAATAACCTCATTGGCGAGATACCCTCGCCAGCAACGCTACCGCCACCGCCCGCCCGGCTGCCCCTCCGGTCTCCGAGACTACCACCCCGCATCCCACCCCCGCTCGTCGAGCTCCTCACGCTTGCACCGCCGACGTGAGATGAGCTCTCCGATCCCGCTCGGCTGCCTTCTGCGCTGCTAGCCCGCCCCGTTTTTGAAGCTCCTGCCGCCACACCGCTGGCGGGGCCGTGGGCCGGCGGGGCCGGCGGTACCTTGAGCTTCTTGAGATGCAAGCTGATTTTGAGAGCGTCGTGCATCTCGGGGAACTCTCTCGCGAGCTGACCGAGGGTGTAGAGCACGCCCGATGCCGTGTCCCCGAGGGTGCTCGCCCGTAGCGCCTTTTCCGTGAGCGTTTCCCCGCCCCGCCCGACAAGGGCGGCGATTAGCCCACCACCGTTGTCACGCGCCTCCGCCGTCGCCGTGCCGCCCGCCACGGGTGCAGGGGTGACATCGTCAGCAGTCGGTACCATAGTTTCGACACCGCCGTCGCGGTCGCTCCTACCTCCCCCGCCAACCCCGGGCGCCCTGCGGTGCATCGCGCGCTCGCTCGCCAGCCTCTCCCCCGCCCTGGTGAGCGCCTGCCGCTGAGCGTCCAGCTGAGCCTTGGCCTGAACCCTCACCGAGTCTAGCTGCGCGTTCTGCTCGTCCAGGCGAGCAGCGCGCGCCTTGGCCCCGTCCAGTCGTGCGAGGTCCTCCTCGTGGTCCGTCTGCGCCCGCTGAAGCTCCTTCTTGCGACGGAAGAGCCCGTCCTGGGCGGCCTTGGCGCGGGCCTCCAAGCTTCTCAGGGCATCGGCGTCCTTGCATCCTGGATCTGCTCGCTGGAAGCTTACTCGGAAGTCCACGTTGCGCGCGTTGAGGTGCCGCAGGGTGCTCTCGAGGGCCCGTATCTCGCGTTCGCACCTCCGTATCTCCTGGTCAAGCTCGTCGCCCTCCCGCTGCAGCTCCTCGCGCTTCTGCGCCGCAGCGATGATGAAGTAGGCCTGGGAGGATCCCCCCCCCGCGTGATCGCCCCCCAATTCACCCGCTCCGGCACCCGCAAATCCCTTGGCCAGCGTCTCGTACTTGGCGCGGAGTTTTTCAACGGCTTGACGACGATCGCCCAGCTCTAGCTGAACGCGGTGGCGCTCTTCCTCGGCCGCTCTCAACGTTGCCCGCTGCAGGTCCCAATGTACCTTACATTTATTTGAGTGTTCAGGTTTCGGTTTTGGGCATGAACGTAGACAAGGCGGGAGGGCACGTGAGAAACCTCATCGCTTTGGGATCATCAGGGTCGGTTGCCGGGGGTCATGCTTCTTCAGTGAGCTCTTTTTAAGGGCCACCCGTCAGCCTAACTTATGGTCCCATCAAACTAGAAGTATCACGCGGGTGATGACTTGTGGCATTAGTTCTCACTATGGTATTGTATCGTCAGACACGCAGTGCAAGGACAAGAGGGTACACGGTTTACCACGCTCTGAAAACATCATATCTTCCCAAAACTATAGATTGCCGTGCGAAATTGGTCTTAACATGCACGTGTGCAGTATGTTGACTCATCACGTAGGATTATCACCTGAATTTCAGCTTTACGCTCCTTCATGCTCATCGCCAACTGCTGCCGCCTGTTCTCGAGGCTGAAAACTTCATCCGCTGCACCGTTCAGGGTGTCCCTCAGGCGCTTCACCTCCAGCCGCATCACGTCGTTCGATACCATGAGCTCTTCTTTCATCTGAGACTCTCGCCTGCCGTATTGTTGGTTTCCACAAGAGCGGTTTGGAAGACAACCGAGAAGGGATAACGAAGGGATAACGACGATGAGAAATGAGGTTGTTAGTCTGCCCCCAACACGATTAACGTTGCTTTGGTTCCCCCTCTGTAGTGACCGCCCTCGCACCATTCTTGGTCATGTGGAGGTATCGGCAATTTCGAACCAACTCATTGAGTGCACCTACTGATAATGTTCAGTGTAAGAACATCGCACGTCTGTCACACGATCGATTCACAGGGGAGGGATCACACCTGCAACAAATACACAGCAGGGTCGTAGAAATCGGCCCGCGGCGGATATGATTGGGCGACTCGATACTCGCCTGGGCCCTCTAACTTGTACTTCAGTTTCCCGCACAGGGAGTTAGTTAATTCGGGTAGAACGTGATTGAAGTATTAGGTATTACTATTAAATGAATCCAAGTTCTCACTTTACGTCGCCCTCCGCCGCCCTGCACTCGAGCTCCAGCTCGTTGATGGCTTCGTTGAGCTCCGCTTGCTGGGCGGAGGCAGCCTCTCTTCGCCTCAAGGACGCTCGCAGCTCGTTGTTCAATTTACGCGCCTGCCCCGTCAGCATCTTCTTCTCTTCGCGCATCACGTCCACCTCACCCTGCGTTGGTTTCATGACATGCAGACTATGGGGCGTGAAAATTGTTCTCACTTGTTTCGGAAAAACTGATGGAAAGAAAGGTAGGCGTAGCCGCTTTTCGCGCACAATTGTTTCGCCGAAACGTCAAGCGCCAGACCAGCCTAGTGATGCGCCCCAATTACAGGTATGTATGTGATACCACAACAGTGATCTCAAGCTTGTGGTGACCCACATAGCTCAGCTCTCCGCAAACCCTTGCTCATTTTCCCACCTAAACTGCGAAGATGTGGATAATCTGTATTGAAGGTCCGAACGAATCACTCGCGACGCCCGCTTGCCAGCCGTGAAGGACAGGACAACTCATTTATCCTGCTACAAACATGACTGACCTCGAGTTCGCGGATCTTAGCGTTGAGCTCGGACTTCTCTTCGTCGGTCCGCTCTCCCATCCCTCGGGCGACCTTCCTCTCCATCTGCTGGATCTGGAACTCGGCCGAGTAGATGAGCTCCTGCTGGCGGGTCTGTTCCTGGTCCAGCGCGTGCACCTTGGTCTGCAGGTTCTTCATCGTCGCCTGTTTTTTATGTTTTTTCGTATCGCGTGCGCGTGTTTTTGCTCTTTGAGACGGCTCGAATGCAACGGCCTTTAGGCGGCATCGAGCTTTCGACTACGTACACACGAAACGCGTTTTTCGCTCTTTTAGCTCTCTGTCTTTTCAACCTTCAGGTGCTAACGTCGAGTGTTTGTCCGGTGGACTGCCGCATGTCATAGAACTGATCAACACTTTCGACCATTAGAGCAGCGTCACAGTAAGCTGTGGGTGCCCGTGTGCCGATGCATCCCTTCCTTCTATGTGGGAGATAAATGTTTCTGTGGCAAGAACATGCTTGGGTACGTCGATTCGTGCGTAACTGCTGAACCCGTGAAACGTTCAGAACTCTTTGTTCTTGGATATATCTGGCTGACGAGATGACGGTGGTTTTGAAAACGCTCATACCTGCGCGCCGCATATCTCAGCTATGAAGTTAGCCTCCTCCTGACGCAAAGCGTAGAGCTTTTGACTATCCCTGAACATTAGCTCCTTTGCCGTAGCTAGCCTCTTTTTCGACGCCCTAGGAGGGCACGCGCGAACGTGACGAGCCACAAGGGTGGTAGGGAGGGCACAGGAAGGCAAGATGAGGTGTGTGTATTATACAGTGCGGTTTGGCTGCCATGCTCGTAGGCGACAGTCAAAATTGTCAGTGCATCACATATATATCTAGATCTCGACATATTCACGAGGGGTGAAGGGGCGCCGTTGGACGCACCAAATACACCCGGGGTGGGGACAACAGGGCGTTGCATTTGTACGATGCCCAAACAACGGCTGAACGCTTCGGCTTGGTAGGGGAGGTGTCTGCGTAGTACAACAGTCGCGTCTGCCTGTCCTCTCAAGAGGTAACCGCAGGACAACCCAGTGCCAAAGTAGGGACAACGGGAGCTCCGACTCAGTCGTTTCGCTAGTGTCGAATGAAGTTTGCCTGCGTGTTTTTCCGAAGAAGCTGATTTAGGTTAGCCGTGTTGTGTGGCCCCGGATGGGAGCTCTTCGACTGAAGAGACGAGCTAGGTATGTATCAACCAACTGCAAGCAAGGTGTTGATCAAAGAGAGACTCCAAACGTCGAGAAACCAGTCATTTGTGGCGCAACGTGGCAGTTTTTATCGTACTTGAGCTCTGCCTCCCGCTGTTGGAGCTCCTCCTCCGCCGATTTGGCCGTGGCCTCTACCTTGTTCGTGTTCCCCGTCTCCGTCTCCACCCGTTGCTTTGAAATCTATTATTTCCGGAGGTCGAACGACGTACGGCAAGAGAAATCATGAGAGGGTGAGGGGGGTGCCGCGTGCCCAAGATTCGCATTGTCGTCTCGACTTAACCAGGTCACTATTATACCAACGATGTCCAGCATCGATCGTCTCCACAGCGAGAAGTCCGTGCGATCGATTCAGAAGCTACGTGTCTCGTTCATAGCAGTACCGGCGACAACGACAGATTCACATCTGCACTCCACTTGCCTGATATTTCCGTCGGGCGGTGTCCAGCCCGACCCGCTTCTCCTCTATTTGCGCGGTAAGGTTGGCGTTCTCGCCTCGTTTCCTGGCCAGCGCCCCGGCCCCGTTTCCGAGGGTGTTCTTGACCACCTCGAGGACGTCGCGGAACTCCTCCAGGCGTTTCTGAGCGGCCTGGGCTTCCTCGCGCTGCCGCTGTACTGTTCGCTCGAGGTTTTCGATTGAGCCTTGGACCTACCGCATCATCGGCGCCGTTGGGAAGTGGGGTTGACGTCGTGTTACCGAGTTCGAAAGACAAGTATCAATTAAGTTAGCAGAGTGTTTCCGGTTGGCGCTTCTGGAGGCAGCCGCAACTTTGGTGTTTATGTGAAGGTGCTTGGTGGGCGAGAATTGGAGGAAAGTAATCGGCGTGTGCTGTCAAGATGAAGGAGATCTGAATATCATCTGCACGGAGGTATCTGGGGGGTTGATGGCGAACCGCGTAAAAAACATGGGACGGTATTAACGTCTCAAAAATCAATGACACACAACACCGGTGATGTACCCCGTCCATCGCAAATGTTCCGGGGCTCTTGTGACCCCATGGAATCCGGTCAACGATTTCGCGACACCGCATTTTTCTTCCCTCTTCTCGCTAAATGCTGCCTCCTCATTTCTTGTGTTGACGGTCACCCCGGGCTAACCCCTTCCATTTCCATCACCTCCTTGTTGTCGTTCCTTTGCATCTTGAGCCTCGCTGCGTTCTGCGCCAGCGTTTCGATCCGGGTCGCCCGCACTTGCCGAGCCGCGGCGTATTTTTCGCCGACGGCGTTGATCTCTTCGTCTCGGCGGCGCATGCCGTCGATAGCGTTCTGCCACTGCCGCACAAGATCCTGGCGCTCGGCATGCAGCCGCCTAAAGTCCGCGGCGGTGTTGTCCAGTTCGACCTGTATATATATATACATGCGTGTTTCACGGTGCAGCAGGGTAGGTGGTGTGAACACGGGGAAGTTATCAAGGCATTGGAGCGTTTCCCGGAGCTTCTTGTGCCTCAGGCAGCTTCTCCGAGCAGGAGTCTAGTCTTGAAAGAGAGCTCCAGGGCACCAACTCATCCATTACCGAACCTTCGCGAGATTGACGGATAGCCATGTCACGTGTCGAAGGGAATATGGCAGGGTCGATGGGCTATCGCCCATCTTGGTCAAATCGATTGTTCAAAGTGTTCAGTAGACTCAAAGACCGTTTGTCCCGCTATCTACTTTGAGCCACTCGCAAGATATCACCCTTTCTTTCTGCTATCGATCCCAGCACATCGTGTGAACGGGGTCTGATCATGAAAGAAAACTCCCCCCATACATCTCCCCTCCTCTCTCTGCCTGTGATAACCCATCGGAAACGTTTGTGACTCTATTAACACGTACGGACAATGAGAACTCAGACGGAAGCAAGTGAGGGCCATTGGAGCATTTCACGGTTCCGATGTTCCTACCTGCTTGGCCGAGGACTCGGCCTCGAGGTTCTGCAGTTCTGCTCGCCTAGCGACGACAGACTTCGACAATCGCTCCACTTGGAGGCTGCCGCAAAGCACAAGTGTTCGGTGGACAGGAACGTTACGGTAGAAAAAGCATGCAGCCTTGAACACCACACGAACCTTCACAATCAATGACTTGGGCATCCGGTGCCGTCATGTTTGTTCTGCAACCAAACGAACGCACCCAACCCCACGTAAGAAGGAACCCGACAAACACGACTAAGTCAGTCTGAGTTTCCAACACGCGTGAAAGGTGAACCCAACTCAGTAGCCCGAGAAGGCAAGTCCTGATGTTGAGAACTGATGGTATCGGACTGCGTTTAACCGACCGGACCTTCCAAAACCAATGTGCATGCGTACATGACGAATGTTTACCTGAGATCCTTGATTTTCACATCGTCCGCTCGAGCGTACTTTTGAAGAGCGAGGTTATCTTCCTCCTTCTGCTTCGCCGCAAGGGCCCACTGCTCCAGCTCCTCCTGGTTCCAGTTCATCTGCAGCTTGAACCTGTCCATTTCCTCGTTCGCGCCAAAAATGGCATTCTGAACACCGTTGAGCTTGTCTTGGGCCTCTTCGGCCTCCACGACGAAACGACGGGCATCATGAGTATACCTACCCAAGAGGAATTCAAAGGGGGTGAGCAAGAAGGATGTGGAGGGTTCTGTCATACGTTCGTGTTTGATAGCGACATTCCGTTGTGTGTGTGTGGAGTAAGTTTAAGCCAGTTAGGGTTGCTGTCCAGTTTCTTTAGCGAGCACTACCCGTGAGTAGCCTTACGATCAGTTCTACCCTTTTGATAACGGAAAAGCGGCATGTGCAACGCCTGCATTCTAAGGGAGTGAACACGCGTGCTGCGTATTAAGGGACATGTAGTTGGATGAGACAACTGTGGGGCATGAAGTATTTGTATGCCGTAGTGTTAACGGGACACTATAGAGTTGGACCATGCGTTCCCAATCGCACCTGCCCGCTTCCCGGGCGGCAAGGGCGCACAAGTGTTCTTCCGTAGCGATTTCCTTCTTCTTTGCAGCCATGAGAGCATTCGTGTGCCCAACTTCCTGGCGTACGTTCTTGAGGTGTTCTTCCATTATTCGGACTCGTTCTCGGTTGTCAGCAAGAGCATTCGTCGCCTGGGCTACCTTTTTCTCCCGTACCTGAGGAGCAGTGAATTGCAACAAGAACTTGAGAACCGACGATACACCTCGGGTATCCAGATTAAACCACTGAGCAGAAGTTGTGGTGAAAGAAGAACGAACAGGACTGCTTTAGACCTGCACAGTAGGGCCTACTGGCTTTCGAACACAAGCAATCATCACAATGGTGCGGACTGGTACAATACTATGTCGGGGATATGGTGCAGCGGGAGACACACCGCATAGCGCCACCATGGTTTAGAATCCCTCGTTGAGACAGACTGACCGCACGCATCGCCCGTTCTTACGGCGGCCGACTCTGCTTCCTCACCTTGATTTCATCGTTCAATGCCTTGCTCTGGTCATTGGCGAAGACTGGTAGATCATCTACGCCTGGAATAATGTCGGCGCCTTCCCCAGCCTCAACTATCTGAAGATTGTCTGGCTCCGCTACCCTAGAGCCATCGAACATCCTCCGACTTCGTGACCCAGCATCATCACTTGCACCCTGTCCACCTTCGCCGAAACCTCTCCTACTGCCCATACCGACGGCGTGGTCATTGCCGTCGTCGTTGTTTTGCGGAGCCTTGGAGCTGTTCGGGTATATCGTGTCGGCCAATGTTTCTCTAACGCCGCGTCCATCTCCATTGATTCCGTCCTCACCACCGCCATTGGAGAGCTGTGCTGCATCGCCTCCAAGCCCAAACCCTACAGGGCTCTCCGGGTTGCCAAACATGGGAACACCCATGCTACTCTCTTCCCGCCGAAGTTGATCAAGGTGCCCCCCCTCCTCATACCCCTCCTTGGTAGTCATCGGGTACTCTTGGTCTTGATTGTTTGTTTCCGACACCACCCCCGCTCCGGACATCCCGGTGGGGATAGTCTGATCCGGAGCCACATTGGTGGACGGGGGACGATCGTGCCCATCAGGAAAATCGTCTCCTACCAGAGGAGGGGGGGGATCTTCTTCCCGTCCCCTATTCTCTGGAATTTCGACATTGGCATCGTGAGCAGCATTGTCAACCTGGTCCACCGCATGCCCAACACCGCCTTCGTTTTGTCCAGCATCGTTCTTTCCGTCGTCGTCGGCGCCAGCAGTGTCTCGTGGCTTGAGAGTTGAGTCTGCCATTTTTCCAGCGATAGTACCTGCTCCTTCTCCCTCTGACTTTGCTATCTACTGCTCCGTCGGTGTAGAGAAAGACACGTTTCTCCATGTTCAGGACAGCGGGATAGTGTCCCGTCGTTCGTCGTATCTAAGAAATCTCGAAAAAACGTTTCAAAACACAAACACGCATCAACACATCAGTGAAACCTCCCTCAAGGTATGCATGTGTACTGTGTACCCGATGATTCGCAGTCTGCGTGTGCCCCACGAATCGATGGAGCCGCGCTTGCCACAGCACCCCCCCCTTCGGAGCTAACCCACCCCTGTTGTCACCATGCAGAACGAGGCCGGATCGAACGTTGACCTTTACATCCCCAGGAAGTGGTGAGCCTCGTTAGGATTGATTGGTTACCTCCAGCAGTGCTGTCCTTTGACAAGTTTCCGCACAGCCTGTGACCGGAAAGCAAGGATGCTGATAGCGTGTGGTTGCTTGCGAGGACGGAGCGGAGGGGACTTGGGAGTGAAGGAGATACGAAGAGAGTAGGCGAGAAGGATAAAACTCTCAGCGGTCTAGGCTTTTTCGCTTGTAGCGCCTGTCGCCCATTGCCGACGTTGCTGCATTCGTGCTTGCCCGGTTGGTTACGATATCTCGCCGCGCCTGTTACAGCGTATGCGGTGGTCCTTGCCTGCTGCCCATAGCGGCACAGCAGAGCACGGAGTACACCGCCGCTGGAACTGGTACATCCTTGTCGAAAACTGGCTTTTTTAGCTGTTGCTTCCACAGACAAGCACTGCTGCAGTTAGCAGGCACACCGACACACATATTTTGCCGCTGCCGGTCGGTCCCAGTCATTCGAAAATGCCGTAGCTGTCCGGCTGCAACCAGTATCTACTTGTCAGCACACCATGCTCTGTCGTCAACCTCTTGCACACCCAACGATGGTACGGCAGTAGCGATTCGTCTCGTCAAGGTGTACACACACGAGTTATGCTCACCGGCAACAACACCATAACATGCAGACGTGCAATCGAAAGCATTTGGTATCATGCCCGCTTGACGAAAACTCCTGTGTTCTTGCCTTTTTTTTTTGCTCCAGCTCCTGGACCAACCGCCTCTTGCAGGCCAAGGACCACTCCTCCACCCAGGTCAGGGTCTCACTTGGTCTTTTTTCGTATCCTCCTCCGGCTTTTGCCTCGTACGTTGCGCCTTGACAGAATGTGACGGGGGTTCACAGCAGCATCGTACATGCCAGCGTTGGTGTTGCGCCCATTCTGTAGTGGCGCAATTAATGTCAATTTTTGGGCTGTCTGCGCTGCAACTTTCCGGCCCCGGTTGACCGGTTGGATGCTTTGGTATGTGTTCATCACGCACCCAGCCTCTGCCATTGGATGCTGTACGAGCTTGCTGCCGCTTTGCATGGCGTGGTTTTCTGGAAAGAGATGGATCTGCCTTAGCTACCCGTGCGCAGAAGGAGTGGCAGTGTCACTCAGTGTTCTCTGGCACGAAATACGCCCCTAGAAGTAGCTTTGACCTGGCGCATAGGCTGAGCAGCGTGTACCGGCGGGGCAAGAAGTGGTGAAATTTTAGCCCAAACCACCCACGATCTACTGCTGGTAGATGGAGTTCCTGGTGGGGAAGGTATGCCGGCAGTGGATGGAGTCACGCGCCTTTCACGCTCGGTGCTCGTTTCCCTCGTGCGTTCCCTTCCCTCTTTTGTCTCAAAACTTACCGACCGGTGCTCGTGCTCTTTGTGATCAGATCAACGTGGGCAAGTTGGACCCCGTTTCGGGAACCTTCACCGGAGAGTCGGACGTGTACGCGCTGGCTGGTTACTTGCGCGGCAGGGTGAGATAAGGTTGAGAGTAGCGACCAATCGCCCAGACCGATGTACCACCGTTGCCTTTTCGTAGCGACTTAGGTTCCGGTTTGCCTGTGGAACGGCGGCGTTTCCTAATGTGTATGTGGAAGGCTGCGTGCGTGCGTATTAATGCTTCCTCAAGTTGGAAGTGACTTGTTGGTGTAGGGTCACCCCCATGCCGTAGTGGCATCACGCTGCGAAGGTTTGCAAGATGCCGAGATGTGCTGAGGGAAGCGCCCATTTCCAGATCGAATGTGTGTGGCTCGGCCTGTAGTTCCCCGTACTGGCGTGACTTCCGATTTGAGATGCAACCAATTTCGGGCCAAGTCAGTCTCAAAGGCCTTGAAGCTATGTATTATAGTAACAATGTAGGAGTGTTTCGTTCGGTCTGTTGCGTCTATCCTGGAAGTTGCGCTGCTGCTGTCCTTCTTACCTTGAGACTAACCGAATGCTGCAGTAGTTGCATATTCTATGGATGAGTGTATCCCGCTGTCGAGGGCCGTGCGCTTGGCACCCGACCGTCCCTACTGTGCATTCATCATTCGTGTTCGTGTTGAACCGCTTCCGCAATCAAGCCCCGTCTGCGTGTATTCATGAAGACATCCCCTAACCGCCCTCACACTGCCGTGTGTTCGTGAACCCCCCCCCCCTTTTTTGTTGGCAGGGTGAGGCCGACGAGGCGCTGACGTGCCTTGTCAACAAGAAGGACGAGTCGGAGCTCTGAGATGCGCAAGGGTGGCGCGCTTGGGGCGGGGGTGGGAGAGGACGCGGAGCGGTCATACCGCGACGCGTTTTTCTCTTATGCATTTCGGATGACAATCCACCATCGCCGAACGACGGCTGTACCTTGGTAGTGCAAGCGAAGCTTTTCGGTTCATTCAAGCGTTGGTGAAAAAGAAAAAGAAAACTGCTGGATCCCTTGATGGAGGTAATCCGAGGCCCCCTGTCCGCCAATGTCTCGCTTTTGATGTTCTCCTGTGTTTCAGTCGTCTACCCCTTGGGTGAGCTTGTTGGGTGGAATTTCTGGTGTTGTGTTGTCCGCCGATGTTTTCGTCGGCATTGGGCCTGACATATCTAGATCCTGCGGGCTTGCTAGTGTGGCGAAACATGGTGCCCGCACCGGCGCCCCGGGCATTTAGAAAAGTAGTGAGGTCCATGGCGTCCCTCACCATCACTTCTGTGATACAGTAGTTGGACTCAGGCGCCTACTCCGCAACGAGAAACCCGCGTGGTGTCCGAGTCGGAAAAGACGGCAGCACGCGCTGATCGTTTCGCGGCACGTTGACAAGCGACAACATACAGGAGGACATCCAGAAATCCATCGTTTCCAGATGGATGAGAGAGCAATGCGATGCCGTTTGCCTGATGCATCTGGCGTGTCGCATGAATGCACAGCCCTCTTCCCTCCTGTTTTATCTCTCGAGTCTACACGCGCCCGTCTTTTGGCAAACGTGTGAATCGCGTTGCTGCCTCCACGTTCAAAAGCCATTCAGCTGCTGAACATCGTCCACGCACCAGAAAGCGCACGAGAGGCCTGTAGTGGACAATCGCGTTGAAGATGTTGTGTGCCTTCCCATTTATTCTGTTGAACCTCTCTTTTATTTGTTTTGGACGCTGCAGCTGGGGTCCCAGGGGAGGCTATACAGGAGTATTTTTCAAGCGGTGTCAAAAGCTTAACCTCGGAAAACGAAACTCGCCGATAGACTCGTGCGGACAAGAACTTTATGCCCGGAAAAGGTGCTCGAAAGAACAAAAACTAGGAGGGTTCAAAGAAGCGAAAGTTTTTAGGCCAGTCAATTCGGCAACTCACACACATACAGCACCCAATAAAAAAGGTCCTCAACGTGCCTGGAAAGCAGAGCACTCTTCATCTACAACTCCTCTATCAAGGGTTGACTTGGTTTCTTTGGGTGTGCAGCACCGGGCACCACGACATCCCCGCCCTCCTCGACCCCTTCTTCCTCTTCCACGCCACCCGTGGCACCGGCATCTACCCCCCCGGCTTCGCGAGCAGCTTCCTTTTCTTGCTCCATTTTAGCTATCGGGGTATCGTCGAAGTCCCCGAGGGCGAAGTCCTGAGTGGGGCACACAGATTGAATCGGAAGTGGTCGTTCGTTTTTGGTTACAAACGAGAGAAACACGCCAACGACCCCGCGAATACTGGCTTGGCGAGAATCGGAAAACACCAAGCCTCCCCTCACGGATGCCATCGACAGACTGAAACGTTCAACAGCCCGCGGGTGAGAGTACGTACGGCTCGACAACAGCTTCGTGTCAAGCCTCCATTTCATTTCAGTCGTATCCCTTGCTGGCGGGCAAAGCGAATACCCCGAAACACGCTCAAGCACTTGCAACCAACCCTGCCTTGTTCGTTGGGAACAGCGCCAACATTCGAAATATTGACATAAATCCATGCTGTTTTCCAAAGGCGTCTTCCCGAACTCCCTTGCAACGCCCCTACCAATACTCACCAGCTGCACGGTCCTACCAGCAGCTACCACCCCTGCCGCTCCTTCCACTTGCCCTCCCTCCTCTTCCTCCTCCACCTCCGAGTCTCCCGCCTCGTCGTCAGTCCCCTCCGCCCCTTCCGTCTGTTTGTCCGAGTCCGCCACCTCTAGACTCCCGTCGAGAACCTCCAGTTTTCCCTCCTGGGCGAGCTTCTCTGTTTTCTGATTGGCCTTCTCCATCTCGGGCAAGAACGCCTCCAGTCTCCCGAGCAAAGAACTTGGGGGCAGGTTCATGGTCTGCTGTTCAGGCCGATGTCGGTGGCCCTTAGTTTCAAGCAATTCTCTTATCTACTCTCGATCTGAGTAGACGCGTGGCAAGAACCTCAGTTAGCCTTGTGACGCTGATATTTCGCCAGTTTTCTGCCATTAGAGAGTGGGGAGGGGAGGGGCGAGAGGGCAAGCAGTCAACGTACTGCAATGGTCAAGGGTGACACGGGTCCACACGCTGTTCGTTCGGTTTCAACGATACATGACAATTGGGATAGGACAAAGGGTTTCGATTAGATCCGATCCCACTATGTAGGTCATCCATTGCTGACTCTAGAATAGGTGGCGGCAGATATCACGTGAAGCAAACCCTGTCTACGTGTAGTTTACCACTATCTCGTATGACAGATGGCCGCACAAACGACGTTTGCAAAAAGGTTCTGTTTCACATCGACCGATAAGCAAGGCTATTCGGCATCCTACTTGTGTCCTGTGAGCGTGTTCCTGCGGAGCGGGGGTGAGGGGGGTATAGCGAATCGATAGCCCATGCCCCTGCCGACAGTTGTCAAGAATCGGTTTGTGGCGCTCCTCTACGCCTGGCACAGAGTGCTGTGTGTTGGCGCCAACAATATACACAGCCAACATCCCGGGCCATATAGCCCTTTCTCGGTAACGAGATACACACATCCCGCGACGTCTCAATTCGATTGGTTGGTGTTGGCTACATTATCTCTACACAACCTCGGTCGCGTCCTGCACCACGAAACATGCAGCAGCAAGGACTGCGCTGTGCTTCCGTAGGTTACGTAAGATACCACACCCCCTGGACTGATTTTTCAAATCTCGATTGCTCTGCAACAAAAACAGTGAGGGTGCGGACAATGGCGGCGTTGGATTCGTCTCGCCAGGAGCTTTACGACAACTATCTTTTGATTTCGACACCCTATTCACCGCGGCGTAATCGAGCTTTGGAAATCGGTCCAGGGGGTGTGGTATCTTACGCCACCCCCCTGCGGCACCGCTGCACGGCAGTGCTGCAGTGCGACTGTCACTGCATCTAGTGGCGCCTTCATGCACATCAAGCCGCAGACTTCCCATTGAGGTCCGGTCTACCCCAAACGTGCGGATGCTGGTGAACTACAACCGCTCTGGGTGTCACGTCCGTCCTGTGCGACCGCGGAGCTCTCTAGGGGGCCAGCACCTACAGAAAAGGTTTGCACCTGCGGCCAACGGCATACCTTTCGATCCCGAACCTCTCCCTTGCCGGTGGAGGAGGAAAAGTTATCTATCCTATCCGGGGTGTGTGCTGTGGCGGCACAGCAGTCGGTGGGGCAGACACGGGAGTATTGCTGTACTGCTGTACTCCAGGCCCCAGACAGGCGCGTGGAGGCACGGGGTAACTCGTAAAGAAGAGAACGCCGAATAGACTCGCCGCATATTTTTTGAATCTTCAAAAACAGGATGTAGAAAGTAGAAAGGCAAGCTACAGGCTGCTTCACGGCACCACACACCCCCCACACCACCTGCTGACACATTCCAGGCAGCTACTATACAGCAGTATAGTCTCTTCGACGGTGCAGTGAGAGATCACGGCTGCTGCGGCTTGTGTGCTCTCTGCCAGGATGTTCGGGCGCCGGTTGATGATGGCTTTGGGAGCACTCTTGATTTGTTTGGCAACAGTTTGCCGAGGACAGGAGATTTGGCAGCCAGCGACGAACGCAACCTGGCAATGGTGAATCAGACCGTAGTTAGGAGAATTGATTCGTGGTGGGCAGTGGTCATCGTAGAATGTCTGTCAGGTGTGTTTAAAGCAGGGGCACTTATTGCACGATCCACGCTCTGTCTATCCGTGCTGATGATGACGCTGGTATCCTTGAAAAATCCTCAGGCAGCTTCAATTCCAAGTCAACACTTCTTTCGACGTCGACATGTACGACATCGACCTCTTTGGTGAGAGTGTGTGCCTGCAGTTGCGGATAGTAGCGTGTACGGCTGCGGTACATGTAGGCCGCAACCTGCGTGTGGTTATACCACGTATGATACATGTGTCCGGTGCAGCTTTTACAGCCGCCGGCTTGGCAATTTTTTCATGTCAACGAACACGAAACAGCAGACGGCGCGCGGTGGCTGAGCTTGGCAGGTACTACAGTGGTATCGATGTGATGCAGATCCAGCCCAAAAAGGCGACCTCATAGCCATGAGCTGCCCATTACATAGTTGTGCAATGACGGCAACTTCCAGAGAAAAGTCGTGTGGTCTTCGACATTGGGTCCTGTCCCACGTGTCGCGCTCTTCTTGTTTCCAGCCCAAAAATTCTACCCAAGTTGTTCCAAGTTGTTCTCATAATTTTTGTCGGAATCACAAATACCCGCCAACCGCCATCCGCCACACGCTCTCTCCACAACTAACTGCCGACATGCCCAAGATTGAAACCGGCAGCGTGTGAGGTCGACAACAGATAGACCACCTGAACTGCCTCGAAGACTTGCCAGCAGAGACCTGGCACGGGTTGTTTCCCGATGCATCGAGACTCTGTGGTGTGTCTTGCAGGGCCGGCGCTATGTCGTCGTTCAACCCGAAAAAACGGGGGGCGGAGTCATCGTGCGAAATATGCGTAGTCTATGCCCAGGGTGTAGGGTTTGGAGGGGGAAAGAACGCTACATCAAGTGTTTTCCAGGCACGTAGATAGTGTGTCTTTCGTCGTCCCGTTTGCTCTGGGCGCATAAGGTAGACGGCTAACATATGTGGTATGCACCGCGGTACTGTACTTCTAGGAGAAAAGTAGTGCATTGTACAAATCACACGGACTAACTTTCTTTCTGGACGCATGTTATTCTCTTATTCTTGAAAACGAAGAAAGGACAGACCCAGCATCAGGGCTGGGGGTTCTTTTGTTCCGCCGCAAACCACGGTTGCACGCCGTATGGAGTACTCCAGAGTATGGAGCACGGGAGGTGTTGTTTTGAATTCATAGACTATGCATACATGTGCATTGTGCATACACATGCATACGCCGAACGTTTGTGGGAGCGTGTACGCAAGAGTACAGTATTCCAAAATTCCCCTTTTCACCTGCTATGCATATGTCCTGCAGCTTTGGGCGCAGCGGATGGAGGCATGAATGTGCGTACAAAGAAGAGGGCAACAGAAGAAAAGCGAGTATTCATTCACACGTTGTTCAAACGCATATGCACACAACACCCTCCTTTCTTTGTCGCATCTGATCTGGGCACGCTCTCAACCTGGTTCCAGCGCATCCGCCACTCACTGCTGAGTGCCCCCCCCCCCCCCCCCCCCCGGTTCTACCCATTCGGCACGGGGGGACACACTCTTTCACACAAAGTGGACCTAATTGGGGTTCTCGATCTCCAAAGGACCCCCCCTGGACGCGTGTAAACCTTGGTGAAAAAATTATGAAAAATTCAAAACTCGCTTGGCTTCCTACGTCCTTGGGGAATGACTTCCCTGAACCACTGGCGGGGGGGGGGGGGGGGGGGGGGTTGGT